AGTTCGCAGGAAACTGGGCCAAATTAACAATAACTGTGCTATGCCGTTGTGCTGGAGGCCAGCCCAACATTGAGCTTCTGGCTAGCGTATTTTCCATATTTGTTTACATAATTTATGCCGTGCATTTCCTACCGCAGCTGATACTTCAAAGAGAATTAAGAATAAGTTAAGCAAGAAAATCTGCATACAGAATGTCGCTTTCATTAAAAATGTCCCTTTTATCTGCAAATGTGTGCAGAGCGTTCATTTCCTGACACCTGTACAGTCTTACAGTTCCTTAAAAAGTCTGTCCTGTTCAAAGAGAGCCAGTGTGGCGTAGTGGTTAAGAGCGTGGGACTGGGACTCAGGCGATCCGGGTTCTAGTCCCCGCTCGGCCATGGAGCCAACTGGGTGACTTTGGGCCAGTCACAGACTCTCAGCCCAACCTACCTCACAGGGTTGTTGTTGTGGGGATAAGATGGAGGAGGAGAATGATGTAAGCTGCCTTGAGCCCTTTGCAGGAAAAAGGCAGGATATAAATTGGAAAATAAATAAATAAAATACATTTACGTGCAGAGGAAGCCATGCCTGGAGCTGGGGGAAGACGTAGAAAACCAGCTTGAGAGGCACAGTGGTTAGAATGGCTGACTGGGACTGGGAGGTACCAGGTTCAAATCCCCATGCAGGCGAAGCTCACTGGGAGCTTGGGCGACTCTTCTCACATCACAATGGCCCGCCATAGTTTACTCTGGGGGCTGCTATGTCAGGCAAGGACCCTTGGCTGCCCAGCTTCCTGTGCTGTGGCAACCAGGTAGCAGGGCTTGTTTGAGAGTCAGATCCTTAAGAAGCCATGGGTTATTTGAAGGTTGTCTAAACCCACTTGAGTTTGTATGATGGAACAACCCATGGCAAGATGGGACTCCTATGGTTGATGGACAGGACAGGACAGGACAGGACAGGACAGCCCTCGTGGGTAAATTTAGCCATGGTGGGGTGACCGGTCATGTGAGTCAGGTCTCTGTCTCTCATCCTGGCCTGCCTGGTGAAATCAAAATGGGGCAGGAGAGGAAGAACTGTGCATGCTGCCTCGTGCTTCGTGGAGGAAATGTGGGTTCTGAATGTAACCACCCATAAGTTGCAGCCCGCTTACTGATGGGGTCGCATTATGCGCTCACGGCATTCATATTGATTTAACTGATCTGTCCTCCCAGAGAGCCACACAAACCACCTTCTGGAATGCAACATACAAGTTTTGACCGAGATCTTAACCCTGACAGAAGCTAAAGGATTCCTTAGTGGGGAGCCATGATGACTAAATCTAAGACAATCATGCCTTGAAAAACAGAATGTGACTTGTTTCAGGAATGGTATTTAGAAGCCAAGGAAGTGAGAAACCGTTAGAAGTGAGGGAATGCCCATCTGTTCACCCCTATAGCTGTCGGGCTTGCAAGCAATGCTTGTATTTGCATGTGGAAGGCGACTCTTGAACCCCTTCTGGATTCTGGGTGAGCGGCATCTTTCTGTCTGCCTGCAGACATTAACAGAGACGGTTGGTTCGCCTTTGCTTGCAGTGGGGACAATTAAACAGGTCACAGAAAGCAAGCTCTGTTGCACAGTCGACCAAGACCTGAAGTAGCCTCCACAGGACTTGAAATGGGTTGCAAGTGTTTAAGCTAGTGTGTGTGTTCGTGAGTGCCATGTTTTTTAGCTCATCCCATTTTGAATGTTTTGTGTATGCATGTGTGTCTTTGTCCTGTTGCGTCTGCAACCTTGCAGCTTCCACTGAGTGTGTCACACAGTGAAGGCCACGCAGACTTTCCCTTTCATTCACTTTTCACTTGGCCTTGTGGATCTGGGGAAACTTCCACCCCATCCAGAAGGGAATTAGCTTCAACTCGTAGGATGCAGCTGTGGCCAAATGAGCCCACGTCCAGCAGCAAGAATGTCTCGCATTCTTGAAGCCAGAGACCGTGATCTTGTGCTTGCTTTCCTAGCCATCGGTTCCTTGGAACACCGTGGGCTTACTTCCGAGAAAACACCCACAGGGTCACGTTCTCGAATGCATTCATTCCTCCTTGCCACTGTAAGTTGTCTTCCTTCCATTACAAGGCCTGTTGGAAGAAAAAGTCCATTTGCATGCTGAAGAAATGCAAAGGAGAAAACACATGTTATGATTAAAACCCCCAACTTCCCCTGCAAAAGCATCTTGCAGCCACAAGCAGGCCTGGACCAGCTGTGTGTGTGTGTGTGGGGGGGGGGGAACTACTGTGGGGGGGGGGGTTTCTCCCCAGCGGGCAAAGGACAGGCACAGCAGCTGAAAAAAAAAATTAAATTGCCCTGCTGGGGGGGGAATTGTTTTTTTCCCCCCCCCCCATGCCAGATCTGGGCCTGGGCACTGGTAAGGAGTTAAAAATCATTCTGAAGAAGAAACTGGATTTTGTCTTAGATATGCAGATTTTAAGCCACGTTTGGTCGATTTAATTGCAGCTTGATGTGAACGGCAAAACTTGAGTTCTGTGATTACCCGTGGAATGGCACTTATTTTTAGGAAGGATAGAAAGTACTTAAGGGGAGTGTAAAAGGTTAATTCCTTGGAGTCTATACCAAGGCACTTAACCTGGCATAGTTAATTGCTGCACCAGGGCATTTTCCTTACCAGAATCCACTTATGGGTTGTTTATAGCCAGCGGATGATGATAGTACATGCTAAACCGGGTACCGTGCCGTGAGACATCTCAGCAAATCTTCACCATCTGACAGGCTGCACAGATCCAGGTGGATAAATCAAGGGACCACAGAAAATGGCTGTATCCACAGTAAAAACATCCTATGCAAAGTAGAGCCGGGATCATCATCATTATTTTTTCAGAATATGGGAGCTTGTGGAGAATGAAAGCAGGTGTACAATTATACTGCTTGCCCTAAAGGTGCTTCAGGGATATTGTAGTACCACAAGAAGATTACACTGTTTACGAGATAAGTGTATGTGACAAAGGTCTATATTTAGAGTGCTCCGTACAGATGATTGTTCAGTTAATGGGGTGATCTTTTAAGAGGCATAAGAGGGCTGTTTCGGTGGAGTACACTTGTGATTGCACATCTTCAGTCTAGAATGCAGCAGCGATTTTGAACGTGATAATCTATTGTGGCAGCCTGCAAATGACCTGAAATGATCCAAAGAGGTGGCAGATGTCCTGGGACCATGCTAGCGATTCTGGGTCAAACCAAGGGCCACCTTAAATGATGCAGCCACCTTGCGGAGGGAACCAGATGTCATTTGTATGTGGCAACGCTCCACAGGGCGGCTGTAACACAAATGCTCTTTTACTGCTTGCCCCTAAGCGCCGTTGTGGCCAGCCCTGTAGCCGTGCCTGCTCTTACTGTGGGTTTCAGATCACAGACATGGAATGCCACCAAGGTTAATGTGACCCAAACGATTTCCCGTAGCTTCTGATATTCTCCAGATCTCTTAACTGACTGCTGATGTGGTTTTATCGACAGTAGGAAGGTTTCTTTGTGAATGTCTCTAGTGTGGGAGAGCCCACCACCATTCTAGGCAGCTGGTTCCACTGTCACGTTGCTCTGACAGTGAGGAAGCTTTTCCTGATGTCCAGCCTGGATCTGGGTTGTCACAACTTGAATTGATTACTCCATGTCCTACACCCTGGAATCATTGAGATGAGATCTTGTCCTTCCTCTTTGTGGCAGCCTTTGAGGTACTTATAGAAGGATAGCATGCCCCCTTGTCCTCCCATGTACTGCCTGAAACATCTCTCACATGTAGCAGATCAGTATCCTGGGCTCTAGCCTGTCCTTCCTGACATGCTGGTTTTTTGTGTCAGGGGACTTAAAAATAAGGGAAAGCGTTCTGTCACAAGGATCTTAACTTGCAATATGAGGTTAGGCCAGTCCAACCATGTGGCATCCTCAGAAAGGAGGAGTGAGCGAGCTCCAGGGATCACAGTGCAGGTGGTGGCCACATCTGGAGGTATTTGCCAGGACCTGGCCATGCAGTCGGACAGAACCGTGTGGGGTAGGTTGGATGGAGAGTTTGTGGCTGGCCCAAAGTCAGCAGGTGAGCTCCATGTCTGAATGGGAACTAGAACCTGGACCTCCTGAGTTCCAGTCCAGCACTCTTATCCTCCGCACCACACCACTCTTTTGAGCTTGCCTTTGCTTCTGGACCTGCCATGCCTTGTTGGCAACTGATCTTGCTTATGTCTGGCTCGGTGTTGGCCTTTGGGCCTGCCATACCTTGCTGGATATCTGACCCTGGTTTGTCCCTGACTTTGCTTCTGGGTTTGCTGCATTCTGCTAAGACTGCCAGCACTAGACAGATGCTGCCTCTGTGTGTGTGTGTGTGTGTGTGTGTGTGTGTGTGTGTGTGTGTGTCTGTGTCTCTGTGCGCGCGTTTGGGGAATTACCACTCAGGGCAAGCATGTTTCAGTGGAGGCCAGCGTCTTGATTTTCGTGCAGTGCTTTGGGCTGGTGCAGCATCCATGACAGTGTGGGAAGAACAAATGGCACAACACACAGATTCTCCTGGATTGTGTAGCATTGCTGCTTTCCCCTACCTCTGCAAGGGCTCCCTCAGTCCTGGAGTAAGCCTTGTAGAAAGTCCAGACAAAGGTTTATACAATCTTGCTGAAAACTAGACTGCTATGAAATGTGATTGAACCAAAATAGTAAAGGTTTGTGGCTGAAATTGTATGCAAATCCTCATTTCTGTTGATCAAGGGTGGACAGTGGCCTTCCAGAAATTTTGGACTACACTTCCATGATCCCTCACCACTGGTGATGCTGACTAGGCCTGATCTGATGGGAATTGTAAACCGAAATGTCTGGAGGAGCACAATTCCCTATTCTTGGGATAGGTACTGGCAATTAATCTGTCAGTGTTACTACTATTGCCATGAAGAAATAACACCTCAATTTTATAAGCAGCTTTTAATATCCACACTACTTTTGCTGACTTGCAAAAGGCTGTTGCTGCTAAGCATTGCTTCTTTTTTTCCCAACAGGAAAGAATTGGTACCTTGTGCATTTAGAGCTTACAGTGACAGATGTGAATGACAATGTCCCCGAATGGCTTATGGAGCCCTTTCCCTATTTAGCCACAGTTTCACCTGAAGCCACAGCAGGTACTCAGGTGTACAAGCTCTCAGCTAAGGATCAAGATGAAGATGAAAATGGAGCTGTTGAATATTTTCTTGTGGAAGGTAAATACAGTTTTTGGAACATGCAGAAGTCATACTGTTTACAGTCCAGCAACAAACCATGGGTTGTGTTCCTGAGTTGCTCATGATTGAAAACCATGGTTTCTTGGTGCAGCTGGGTTCAGACAACAGGATGACTCACATTTCAACAACAACCCACACTCCCCCCAAATTCTATCCTGGAGTGGGGGTTATTGTCTGAATCCAGCCAATATTGGACTAGTTAAGGAGTGGGGAACTTTAGCCATGGAGGTGGGATCTTCCCCTCCTGGGCCCCAATCTAACCCTCTGAAGATTTCCCAGACAGCCTGGCATCCTTGTCCTAGTCCCTCCCCCTCCCCCAAGCACCAGTTGTTTAGCCGCTTCCCAGATTTTATGTACTTTCTCCTACCCATTTTAAAAGGCTGAAATGCCTCTCTGAAGGATTGGCTACGGACAGCTGAAATCTGGTATTTTTGCTTCTCCCACGACTTGGGTCCCACCCATCATGAATGTGGTCCTCAAAGCATCTCCAAAATGGAATTGGGTCCTCAGGCAGGAAGAGGCTGAAGGGTGCAAGATGCTCCATTGACCTCGCCTTGTACAAGGCAGCTTTGTGTGCCTTCGAGTAACCAAAGGCTCTGCACTGTGGGCTATTTCTCTCCCACATGATAAACCACGAAGGAGGGAGATCATGAACCTCTGGACCACCTCTGGTATGCTCCCTACCGTCCATGCCAGGAAGGCATGCCAGCAGCCAGAAATCTGCCCTATACAAATACAGCACATGATTGTATTATTTATTGGATTTGTATCCTGCTTTTTTTCCAATGAACTCAAAGTGGCATACATAACTCTCCTCTTCTTACTCTGGACAGCCCTGAGAAGTCTTTGTTATTGGGGGAGCGTAAAGATAAATGAAAAATAAAATACGTGCTTGCAACAGACATGGGACAGTGGGGGACACTCCTCATATGGTCGTGAATCATGTGAGGGGATAAAGCCTGGAAAAGGTCCTGATTTTGCTCGCTTGAGGCAGCGTGTAGAATAATGAACAAACAGGGCTGGCATTTTACTCTCAAAATGTGGAGGCTGAGCTATACCTGTGAAATCCCAGTAAATTTGAGCAGTGCCAAATTGCTGGCATTTGGAGCTGTGCGTTTGCTTCTTTGTAGGCGGAGAAGATCGATTTGAAGTTGAAAAGGACACTGGCTGGATCAAGACGACAGGCTTACCCCTGGTGAAAGAGCGGGAGTATTTGCTGACGGTGCTGGCTGCTGACAAGCCCGGTCGGCAGGGGGCCCCTGCCTCGGTTTCTGTGGTTGCCGGGCTTCGGGCTCCGCAGTTCACCAACACATCGTATGCCGTTTACATCCCTGAAAATACGCCCCGCGGAGAATCGTGAGTGCCCTCCCTCCCCACTTTCCTCTGTCATCCAAGCTTTTCCCACAAAGCCCTGGAGTGATGCCATGTCCAGGGCATTTTGGGAAATAAGATGGCGCCCCCAGTGCTGATCAAATCCCTACTGCGGGTGGAGTGAGTTCTCGCTGGCTTAGGAGGGCTCCACCAGAGCCCCCTGTGCTGCAAGCTGCTTCGAATCTCAAACGGTCCCTGAGCTCAGGTCAGTTCTGAGGGGAGAAGGAGTGCTGGAGCAGATGGGCTGAGGTCTCCTCACCTTCTCCTGTTCCTTCATCAAACACGGTTCAGCAAGCATTGGCTGTCAGATCACAGGGAGGGGCTGCACCTCCGTGGGAGAGCATGTGGTTTGCCCGTAGGGCATTTTGGGCCTGAGCTCTCACTTGTAGGGTGGAGCTGGAAAAGCACACTGCCTGGAACCTGGGGAACCTGCCAGCCAACGTCCACAGTACTGGGCCAGGTGGGCCAAGTGTCTTGACCCCGTCTCAGGCAGCTGCTGGTGCGCGCGGTCGGCCCCTTCTGGGTGCAGGTCCACTGGACTGCTTGCAGCCCTGACACAGAATATTTGCTGCTTATGTGTGGAACTCTATTTTATAGCAACATATCCACATTCCTGGGTAGGTACTACTGCGATCTTAACAGATGTAGGACTTGACCCATTAAAGTCTAGGAGACTTCCATGTACGTTGCTGAACTTTTGAGCTGATCTGACAATCTGTCATAATTTGGTATATGTATTATCGGATTAAACTTAAATGGTTTACTATGCGATTTACTTCCTCTGCATTCTAAGAACGGTTGATTTTGCAGCTGCTGCTTCGAAAGCATGGAAACTGCCGCAAGCCAAGGTTCCTCCTTTGAGCAATCACGAGTCACAGGCCTTTCTCCTTGCAAAACATTCTTTATTGCTCCCAAGTATAACACCCAGAATGGGTCTCTGAGCATGCACAGAGCAGTTTGCTGAACCCAGTCTGGTTTTTACCTCCAGGAATTCTCCTTGTGAGCATGCCTGGGCCCCACCCCCTCGGGAGGGGCTTTCTGAAGGCAATTGCCCCTGCTCTCTGTGCTCTGCTCGTTCAGTTGAGCCTCCTGCCTGCTAATACCTCACCATGAGGTCAAGAGCAGTGGGAACCTGCCTCATCCTCAGAGACCCCTCCCACGGGCAGCACATCTTGGCCGTTCCCAGAAACGGCTTGGCTTGGCGAAGCGTCTGGCCTTGAGATAATCGCCTCCACCTCCTTCATCCCAGATTCTGTGACCTATCCCATCCTCCCCAATCTCACTAGAATTGCTTTCACTTTCCAATTCTGAATCACCTGGGAGGCAGCCAGCAGTCCGTGGAAACAATTGTCCAAAACTGCCATTCTTCTCACTCCCAACAGAAACGTACGTTCTTGTGGCTCAAAACTGGCCAGCCAGGGTCTTGAGCGCAGGTTGTTTCTGTTCGTCAAACGCAGATGCATCAGCCCGTGCTCGGCTCCGAGTAGCACCTGCAGGTGAAAACACCTGTTGCTCTTGTCCGCCTGCTCTGCCACCTTGTCTTTTTTTGTACAACTCAGAAAGTCCTGCATAATAAATAGACACATCACTAAGCATAGTACCTTCCCTGTGATTTGAACATTATTAAATAGGATCCTTGTAGATATTTTAAATACTTTACATACATCCAGTATTTTAAATTGCCTTTCTATCTCTATCACTCTGTCCTGGAACTTCAGTCACACCAAAATAAGAAAGAATGTCCATCTATCCAAGACATTTTGTTATATTTTTATCCAGGTTTCTGACCGTTTCTGCTTTGTCACATCAAAACAAGTCCTTAAGTTATACCCTTGTAACAAATCCAAATGGCCTGTTTGGCATAAACCAGGCAACAGGCGATGTTCATGTCAACCGGAATATAGATTATGAGCGTGATCAGCACCAACATCTCCTCCTGGTGCAAGCAAGCGAAAACCAGGGGCAGCTCAGCAGCACAGTCGAGGTGAGTGCTTCTTCCCAGCCATTCGCCTTTGATGCCCCATTTATTTATTAATTCCACAGTTTCACAGGGCGCCTCACTTCCTGTGAAAAGTGCTTTGATTCCTGGGGAGGCTGTGCTGCCCAAGCAATGCCATGTCCTGGCAGGCAGAGGTGCAGTGATAAATTTTGCAGCGAGGGCCCTCCTCTTGGTAGCGCTGCAACTAAGCCTCAAGAAAACTTGAAAAATGCAGGCAGCTGGGCTGATCGCATCAGCAGATTAGTTCTGGGCATTCTTGTCTTTACAAGGAACCTGTATTTCATTATACGGAGGCTGTTACTGATCTTGATTGTCCATTGAAGATCAGGCTGTCCTAAATTCCTTTGCAATATAACAGGAATGGTGCAGAAGCCAGAAGGGGCCAAAACAGACCCAGTATTCCTGCATAGTATCATTTAAGGTAGGCTGCCTTCAGGGATCCTTCTGGATCAGAAGGCAAGAGGATAGAAGTGCGGTGATTTGTTTTATGCAAAAGTAAATGTGTGCTCCTATTCCACAATGATAGTGTTGCAGTTTGCAACTTCTCCCAACTGATTTGTGTCCCCATATATCTTTAAACAACCTTGTGTTGTACTCAGATGATTCTTTAGGGAAAATATCCTTATCCAGCCAATTAAGTTTCCAACTTTCATAGGATTTGGCTATTCCTTTCGCACTTCTGTTTTTCAAGTGGATTTGAGCTCTCTTGAACTCAGAAGCATCCTTCAAATGATGAGATACTTTTATGCTGTTCTAAAAACCGGCCATCGCCAGCCCTGCTGCTGGAGAAAGAGAATGTATCCTACCAGTTTTAACCTAATGCTTCTTTTTATTTTAAGGCAACTGATTTTCTAGAAAATCCTGCAGAGGATGAAAATTCTAGTTTTGGATGTTACGAACAATGAAGACACAACAGTGATACAGCTTGGTGCTATTAAACACTCTGGTGTATTGTCCTTTTAGGTTTGGGTTGTAATCACAGACGTCAATGATTGTGCCCCAGAATTCCAGCAGTCAATCTACACCAAAGACAATGTTCCTGAGACGGTGGCTGTAACAACTGCACTCCTACAAGGTTAACAACCCCTCCCCTTAAAAAAAAAAAGAAGTAGTAGAAAAACCATTTCACATTTTGCTGATGCAGGTATAAGTTCCGTCAGTTACAGTCCACTCCAGTTACAATGGTGTCTTGTGGAGCATTCCCTTAGGTACTGTGTATACCTTGGAATCTCTCCATAATACTCCACGAAGCTGAGAAAGTGGACTCCAGTCTATGGAAGCTGCCATGCATTTGTTAAGAGGTCACAAGAGTCTGTTTCTGTTGCAGTAGGAGGTAACCCAGCTGATGTCAAAGCTCGTTGATGGACTTGCTCCTGTGTTAGGAAAGGCAAAGCTAGCCAAAAGCAAGCTCGGGCGGGCAATGCAAAGGTGTGGATGGGCTTCAGCGGCTGGAAGGGTTCAGAGCTGCATTCCCCACTTGCTTCATGCGGGGAGCCAGGCCCAACTTAGACACTCTCAGGGAGAGGTAGGGTGTCTTATGAAAGAGAGATAAGCCAAGTCTAGAGTCGCCCACTGTTCTAGGCCTGCACTGAGATTCTCCCCTCTCGGTGACTTTGAGTGTAGAGGATAGGATGCAGAACCCCAGCTCTGTGGGCCAGTTCTGGGGTTCCCCAGTGGGCAGTGCTCCCTTCTCTTGCCCCGCTGTCCCACTGACCTTCTGGTGGTTTCCCGGCTTTGCTAAATTTCACCAAGCCCTTGAAGAGCCTTCCCGGATGCTTGTTCCTGGCGGTCAGCGCTGTAAGCCGAACCGTGCCGCTGCTTGCCTCCTCGCCTTGGGCCAAGCTGCCTCTTGCTTCCAGCCCTGCGTGCCTCTGGAGCCCGACCCCAAACACGTCCCTGAAGGGGAGGTGGAGTGCCACGTGACCCTCAGGCACCCCGAGTGCTGCAGCCCTGCCTGGAGCCCATGAAGTATTATGGGCTAGAGTAGCTTTTGGGGGGTTGGTGCAGTGCAGCTGAAGTGGCTTGCTGTGGTCTTTTTGCTTTTTAAACCAGGGATTCAGGACTTGTGGTGGCAGCCCAACAGCAGGTCACTTGCCAGGGCTCCAGTTCAGTCTTGCAGTCGGGTCGGAAAAGGCTCCTGTCGGAAACCCCAGAGAGCTTCTGCCAGCAAAAGGACAGTCCTGAGCTAGATGTACTGGTGGTCTGACTCTGTGGACAAGCGCAGCCCCATTCGCACCTGTAACCTGAGCGGTGACTGGCTGTTCTGCTTCCTGTCTTTCTCTGCATCACTGACGCAGCGATCTTGTCGCCATTCCCTCACCCGCCCAGAGTTGTTGTTGTTGTTGTTGTTATTGTTGTTGTTGTTGTTGTTGTTGTTGTTATTATTATTATTATTATTATTATTATAGCATTTCTATGCCGCCCCTTGCCGAAACCTCGGGGCGGCTTACAACATGATAAAATACATTGAAATACAATAGTACATAATAAATTACCATTAAATATAACAATACAAAAAATACATTGATTTACAAATACAAAATTAAAATTATCAGTATAAAATAAAAATATAGGAGGAGAAAGAGAAGGAAGAAGAAGTTGCCCTGGCCAGATCATATGTTTTAACAATTGAAATGATGTTTAAATAAAAAGGTCTTTACCTGGCGCCGAAAAACCAGTAACGACGGTGCCAGGCGGACCTCTTTGGGGAGTGAATTCCATAGGTTGGGTGCCACCGCAGAGAAAGCCCTCCTCCGGGTACTTACTCTCCTAATTTCTTTCATGGAGGGTTCCCGGAGAAGGGACTCTCCCGCAGATCTCAAAGGGCGGTCGGGCATATACGGACGTAAGCGCTCGTTCAGGTAGCCAGGACCCAAGCCGTTTAGGGCTTTGTAGGTCATAATCAACACCTTGAATTGGGCCCGGGCTTCAATGGGAAGCCAGTGAAGCTGACGGAGGACTGGAGTCATGTGAGCATAACGCCCCGTCCCCGTCAGCAACCTGGCAGCTCTATTTTGCACCAATTGAAGTGTTCGGACTGTCTTCAGGGGAAGCCCCACGTAAAGCGCGTTACAGAAGTCTAGGCGGGAAGTCACCAGCGCGTGTGTCACCGTCGCCAGGCAGTCGTATTCCAGGTAGGGGCGCAGCTGATTAATCAGCCGAAGCTGAAGGAAGGCGTTCCTCGCTACCGCTGTCACCTGAGCTTCCAAAGAAAGCTCCGGGTCGAGGAGTACTCCTAAGATGCGGACCTTATCCCTAAGAGGGAGTGTTGCACCATTCAGGACCAGGTCAAATCCACCCTCTCCGAAGCCCGATCCGCCAACCAACAGGACCTCCGTCTTGTCTGGGTTAAGTTTCAGTTTATTGGCCCTCATCCATTCCCTTACCTCGGCCAAGCACTGGTTCAGCACAGCCACTGCCTCATCTGGGTTAGTGGAGAATGAGAGGTAAAGCTGGGTATCATCAGCGTATTGATGATTCCGCAGACCACACCTCCTGATGACCTCTCCCAGCGGTTTCATATAGATGTTAAATAGCAGAGGGGATAGAATGGAGCCCTGTGGTACCCCATGGCATAGCTGCCATGACGTAGAGACATGGTCCCCCAGCACTACCTTCTGGAATCGACCGTCGAGATAGGAGCGGAACCACTGCAAAGCAGTGCCTCCAACCCCCAATCCCGCAAGTCTATCCAGAAGGATACCATGGTCGATGGTATCGAAAGCCGCCGAGAGGTCCAGAAGAACCAACAGGGATGTACTCCCCCTGTCCTTCTCCCTGCACAGGTCGTCGTACAGGGCGACCAAGGCAGATTCAGTACTGTACCCGGGTCTGAAGCCGGACTGAAAAGGATCCAGATAATCAGTTTCCTCCAAGAGTGCTTGGAGTTGTCCCGCCACCACTCGCTCCAGCACCTTGCCCAGAAACGGGATGTTGGCCACAGGTCTATAGTTAGTGGCCATCTCTGGATCCAGTGACGCTTTCTTCAGGACCGGTCGTATTACCGCCTCCTTTAAAGGGGCAGGCACTCGACCCTCCCTCAGAGAAGCGTTAACCACTTCCAAAATCCAGGTCCCAATCCCGTGCTTGGAGTTATTTATTAACCAAGACGGGCAAGGATCCAATAGGCAAGTGGTGGGACGTACTCTTCCAAGCACCTTGTCCACATCATTGGGCCGCAATAATTGAAATTCCTCCAGTAATTTTGGACCAGACGGTGGCATTGGCGACTCCTCAGAGACCTCTGATTCATTAGTGGAGTTCAGCTCACACACCGACTCTGCCAGACACACTTAAAACCGTGTGTTCTGCCACAGGGCTGTTTTTTCACTGGTGTGATAAATTATGCGTATCATAGGAAAGGATGGCTTGGAAATGTACTTTTCTAATGTTGAAGGTGTCATTATTCTGCTCTCACTGACAGACAGACCAACAAGCTGTAGATATGTGAAATGGCTTGGCAAACGTCTCTTGATGGTAGAAAGACAGTATTTTGTTGTGCTTTTGATGGCTTCTATTTGAGCCGCATATAATCTTAGGGAACTTTGTCACAAGCTAATTCCTGACGGACGGGGCTTGTCATCTTTTCCCTCTGCACAGTGTCAGCCACTGACTGTGATTCTGAAGAAAACGCAGCAATACTCTACTACACACTGAGCCCCGATTTCAGCATTTCTACTCGTGGCACCATCTTCCCAGCTACGGAACTGAACTACGAACGGCCTAATCACCTGTACGAGTTTGTTATTATGGCTGTTGATAAAGGAGAGCCGCCAAGGACTGGGACGGCGACAGTCAGGATCCGTATCTCGAACGTCAATGATGAAGCACCCAAGTTTTCGCAAGCAATGTAAATACATGTCCCTGAGTTTTATTAAGGCTTCAGGTATTGTTTGATTTATCCTTACTGCTGCATGGCAGTTTCCATGTGGTGCTTTGATGACTTTGGTAGTATTTTGCAAAATCAGGATGATAAAGAGACGCTAGTCTAGGCTCATGGGTGAGTAAACCTCTTGTTCACGTTTTTCTTTGTGGGAAACCTGTTCCCTGCGCTATCACAAAATGACTTACTTGGCATGATGGCTGTAAAGATTCCTGAGACAGGAAATGGAATACTAGTATGTTTTGTTGTTTATGTTTTTATGCTGCCTTTCCATAAAACTAGCAAGGTGGGTTACATGAAAATAGTTTACAAGCAGTAAAACTTCATTTAAAACATTTAAAACAGCAATATGCCAAAAACAATTTGGTAGAAATGTACCTTGACATAGTTAATCAATGGAGAAGAGAGAGACTGATGGTTTCTGCAAGGTTAGTATATTCCACAGTTTGGGCTGCCTTTTGGAGCAAAACCCCTCAAATGCAGGACAAGTGGTCTCCATATTCCAAAGCACTTTCAAGAGAATTTCTGTTTACAAGACTGGGACATGCCACAAAACTTGGCAGTGTGAAGTGTTCTTTTTCATCATCCCAGCCAGCCCTTTTCCAGAATACTTCATTTTATTCCTCCCTCTAAAAATTAGCAACTAAATAGCATGTGCAGGATGCATATTACTTTGTAGAGAAAAAGGAATTCCATGCAGGAGCTTGTCACATTCTGCACGAGCCCTTAGTTAGATTGTGGTAGTTTACCATGTAGGCAGGGGAAAATATGTTCATTGCACAACTGTCACATGGAATAACCTCTTTTCTAGGACTTTGTTGAGCCTTTCTCAGCCAGAGGGCCAAATCCTATTTAGGAGAGCTAGACAGGGCAAGGACTAAAGAGTGTGGTCAAAATCTGAAAAAGACAAGTATATGTTTGCTTTAAAACATTTCAGATTTTTAGAATAGGGAAAAAACGGCAAAAAAGTAAGGCAGCCGCCAAAGGAAAGATGGCTGGGGGGAAGTGGTTGGGGCCAGGGGAAGGGGCATGACCATTTAGGGAGCCCTGGAGGGCCTATTTGGGTTTGGCCCTCAGACCTGAAGTTCTGCACCCTGTAGAACTGAAGAAAATCTCTGTTCTAAAATAACCACGGCTACCCATCTATGGTTATTTCTATCAGGCTATTGCACCACATGGGTTTTATTTAGCAGTGTTTTTCTTATTACTGGATAAGGATTCAATCTGTAATGACTTCTCATTGCATTTAGCACACAGGCCTGCATTTAATCTGGTTTGGTAACCAGGCTTAACATTATGTGCTTTGCAGCTACAGGAGTTTTGTTTCTGAAGACGCAGGGCCCAACACCTTGATAGCCACGGTTCATGCTATGGACCCAGATGGAGACGGCGTTTCGTACAGCATTACTGGAGGGAATCAAAGAGGGAACTTTATTATTGACCCTCAGAAAGGTAATGATGTCATTTCTGCGACTTGCTTAGATCTGTGACTCCGTCTTGTGGCATGTGACCAGAGTGGGTTACAACCTGTGGTGTTCACATGCATTTAAAATACACATGTTTTTGCTGCTACTTAATCAAGGTTGGTTTCTTTGCTGTTGGGTGTTGCTGCGTATCTGTGCTCTGATGGGAATCCAAAGAACTGCTCAGCTGCTTTTGGCTGCAGTCTCCCAGAATGGCAGTATTGAGCATGGAACTTTTTTTAAAAAAATGCTAGGGTTGGTATAGCTGTGGAATGCTGGGAATTGTAGTCCAACTCATTTCGAGGACACTGGGTTGGGAAGGTTGTGTTAGAGCACTGGACTACTGAAGCCCCACTGTGTGGACCCGGGGCTCCTTCTTTGGCTCAGAGGATACTTAGGAAGCAATGAAGAGATGTGTCAAAGATGATACTCAGAACAATGATGGAATGCAGGTGCGGAATAGAAACAAACAAAAGAAGGCAAGTTCTCCGTGGCCAGATCAGCTCCCTGAATAGACCAGCAGATGTTCCGTAGACCTCTAGAGTTGCCCATGACGAGTGCCTCACGAATGAAAGGGGCTCAGTTTTAGATCCTGCCTTTTTCTGACACTCAGCATTCCAGACATCCAGACTTGACAGTTTTTGGGCATTCATATCCGTCAGTGGTGTTTGTGTTCTTCAAGGAAACTGTCCCTTGCGGCAACACTTAGGGTTATACTGCCCATTAAGAAGGCAAATGTTGGATGCTGTTGCACATTAAGCGATCAAGCTTTTCTGTCATGGTTTTCCCATGCTTTTGAGCAAATGTTGCTTTGAGAGATATGGTAAATCTGCACACTCTCAGCTATTGCCCTGACAATTTATGTGAAAATGTTGTTGATTTCAGTGGAAAATTAATTTCCAGGTTAACATTCTTAGAAACCATAGCAATGCCCATCAGGAGGAAAAGCTGGGTGCAGCCTTGACTCTTTTGTGCATTCTCAGTTGCTCAGCCCTTCAGTCTTTCTCACTATTTGTCAATGTGTCTTGAGAAAGAAAATTTATACAAAACAATATCAAGGCAACATCTATTGTTTTCTTAAAAGGATTACGAATGGTTGCAGAGATAACAATAAAATTACCTCTGTATGTGTTTGCAATTCCTCTCTCTATTCTTATAAATTCACTGCCTTGCCTTGGTCATTTCATCAGAACTTTTAAAATTTTATAAACCAAACAACCCCAAAGGAGATGGATCCATAAGCAATGAATAGGGAGGTACATCGTCATCAAACTAAAAATTCCATAAAATAATAAACATTGACTTCCCTATAAATTAATGAATTGATTTTCATACAATTGATATTTCCCAAACCTGAACATAATATGTATGCTGATGCATTATAGCCCAGTCCTACAGAACCAGTCCAAGAGGTGGGTCAACTTTCTTTTTCCATTACTAACACTGACTTGGGAGTGAGCCCTGTAGACATGGAGCTGGACTTACTTCCTCTGAAATATTTTTATTTTATTTATTTATTAAAAGCTTTTCTAACCTGTCTGCTATAGATGTCTTGGGATGATGTACAAAAAATGAGTAGAATAAAACAAGTACCACAACACCTGACAATTAATATACTAACTGCCCCCCATTAAACATTAAAATAGCGGGAAAATAAAAAGGGTTTTGCCTGATGCTGAAAAGAATATAATGTTGGTGCCAGGCGAACCTCTCTGGGGAGCATATTCCATAGTCAGGGTGCCACGCAGAGAGTATACTTTCTTCAGAAGTCAGTCCACATCAAAAGCACCTCTGTTATTATAAATCCATGAAATCTTTTAACCAAGGGTGGGCAGTGACCTTAGCCTGAGGGCCAAATGGACTTTTTGGGAAGCTTTTGAGGCTGCGTTCCAGTTTTCCGTGGGGTCAGAGACAGAGGGCAGGGCCAAAATAATGAAAGAATCTTACTTCATTTTGAGCAGGCAACTTCTTTCGATCATGGGAATGCTGTGGGCATGACAGTTCTTGACTTCCTCAAAGCTTTTGACAAAGTGACCCATGATCTTCTGACTAGTGTGTTAGTTAAGTGTGGCTTGGGTGGCACAGCTATGAGGCAAACAGTTTTCTGGTTGGAAAATCGTACTCCAGAGTGCGCGTCATGTGCTTTCTCATCAAACGGGGTAAGAATGCCAAGTGGAATGCTGAGGAGCCTGGTCCTGGGCCCTGCAATGCTGGACATCTTCATTAACAACGTGGAGGAAGAGGTGGGAGGAATACTTGTCAATGTGCAGGTGACACACACTTGAATGGGGCAGAGGATACCTTAGAAGGCAAAAACACAATTCGAAATCACCTTGAGTGGTTGGGAGAGTTAGCAGGATGAGTTTGATCAGAGGCAAGTGCAGGGTTCTTCATTTAAAGAGGGCAAGTGCACAGGGGTTGCCTGGCTTGGAGTGGCTTGTGGAGAACGGATCTTGGAGTTGTCGCTGATCACTAGCTGGACATGAGTCAGCGGCGTGATGTGGCTACAAAAATGGCAAATGCTTGCTTGCTTTAAGTGACATGGCTAGAAACATTGTTTCTGAATTATGGGAAGTAATAGTTCCACTCTAATGTTGCTCACAGCTTGCCTTGAATATGGTGTCCAGTCCCAAGATCTGCTTGAAACCTTGAACATGTTAAATACTGTTTGGATTCTTGTAGTGTGTCCTATGATGGTCTGCCTTTGGAAATTTCCGTTGGAGCAAAATATGGCTGCAAAAATTCTGCCTGGAACCAAGGCCTGCAATCATATTGCACAGATTCTCTCTCTTCTGCACCAACTTGCAATGTTTCTGGGTTCCATTCTAAGTGATTTTGACTTCAAATCTTGCATGGAGCAAGAACTTGGGGCCTCATGGAGAGCCTCCACCCATATGCAGCTGCATGAATTTGAAGGTCATCTGGAGAATGCTTTTCTGAAGGAGGCCAGATGGCCTTCCATCCACTTGAAAAGATTTCTCTTTTGTAAAGCAGTCACCCCACAGACGTGTTAAACTTTTTGAATTGTTAACCCACTGCCTTGTAACCTTGTGTATGCATACATGCATACTTCTTATTTTGCCTTATTTCTGAAGCTGCATTGAGCATTTTAATGAAAACCTGGGTGGGAAATGGCTTGCATAAATACATGATGTGTTGTTTTAGGTTTATATTCAAGGGTGACGTTAGTTCTCCTGATGCTGCTCTGTGGGCTTTCGGATTCATTTTCTTCATGCATCTATTTCTTAGCTCCTTATATCTTGCTGTTTCCGCCTCTCTGTTTGATCTGCACATCAGTCCTGTGAGGGAGGCTGAGCTGAGAGCCGTCGCTTCGCCTAATGCCACCAGTGAGCGGTCCCTGCCTCTCCTGTTGCAGAGCAACCCTGCGGCAACGCCGCGATGTGGGCGCGCTTCTCCCTGTGCTCTGGAGAGGGCGACTAGCCGTGCTGAGCGCCCTGCTGGACCAGCGCTCGCACCTTTCCTGTGCCCTGCATTTGCAGCAACACAGTCCAGAGAGCAACTCTGGAAGCCTCCTTGAGTTTGTTACGGATGTCATGCTGTTGAGCTGACTGAGTGCAAACAAGTTCCCAGCTGCTTGCCTTGTTCTGGCTGTTCCACTTGGTTAGATTAATGTGCCTGTTGTGAGGTGTGTGTGTGTGCGGGCTTCAGAGTAAGTCCCTGTTGTGCTCCATCCCTTGTTTTAACACACACCTTGCAACCGACATGCTAATTCTAAAAGAACTAGGAACAGTTTGACTTCAGCCCTTCCGGCCTAGCAACCCCTTCCCCAGCTGCCAGAAATAAGTTCACCGTGTTCCTTATTTGAAGTGACACTGATGACTTGGCTTAATTTAACACCCATCACATTCCTTTTTAAAATCCTGGCATTATGTGCTCTCCTGAGCCAAGAAACTAATCACAAATAAATAAGATGCCACAGATCTGTCCTTCTTCTCATCTGATCTGTCTTAGGGGTTCACTAATCATGAAAAATGAATGCCTATGCAAATATTCCTTTTGCAATATTAATGCTCCAGATCTGGATGCATTAGAAAAGGCAGAACGAGATGCCATCAAATGGTTGTACAAGGAATTGACTCGCACATCCTCTGTAGGCTGCAACTTCCCCTACTGCTTTAAGGCTTGCTATCTGTTGCAAACACGCACCAGCCTCATCATGCCACAGGGACTGAGGTACAATTGCCAGTGATACACACTATTTCGCTAATACTTAAGCCATTTAACTGCTGCAGTTCCACCACTGAGAAGCCAGTATTGCATATTTCACGGTGCAGAACGATTTGGTATCCCAACCAAATTGGGACACCGATTGTCAATGCCTGGCTACGAGGGTGGTGCCAGTGTGAGAGGTTCGGATTCTGCGACCACGGGCGCCACTTCCTGGAAGATGGACTGCCGGCAAGGGGTGGGCTGCACCTTACAAGGTTTGGAAAGATCGTGTTCATCCACAGCATGAAGGTGTTTATCAGGAGGGCTTTAAACAGTCCTACAGGGGAGGGAGAGCTACACCTGGGCATAGCAACACACAAAGGCTTATGCACCACAACAGAGAGAGCAGCTGTAGCAGTGCCCAAAAATAGTCTTCCAAAAATATAGGAAGAAAGCTACAGTATAAAGAACACGGTCTTCATGAAAGAGAGAACATGGAACTTGAACTCTTAATAGAGGAGGGTAAGTGTGTCCTGATTGGTATAACTGAACCTCGGTGGGATGACTTCCATTATAGGAATTCAACAGTTGGAGGAATTCAACAATCTTCATTTTCCAGAAGAACAGAAAGGGAAGCAGAGTCACACTATATGTTAAAGATAGATATCTGTGCCCATCTCCTTGAGCTGTTTTATTTTAAGATGCTGCTGTCAATGAAAATGTGCTTGATATCCTGGAAAGCCAAGCTGGGGCTGAGACACATGTCAAAACACAAGCGGCAAAGCCAGAGAGATGGCATTGGCAAGTGACAAGAGTGACACTTGTCATCTTAACAACGGTCCATTTGCAAATGACACTTTTTATCACATTGGCTAGATCACGGACAGATTGGGACAGTGTTGCTGAAAGGAAGACTGACAGATGCTTTCCTGCGGTTTTCCATGTAGCCGAACTCTACACTGATTTGTAAAATAAAGTTAAAAACAAATTTCTGAATTTGCCAGACCTTACACGACCCACAACATCAAATGAAGCCCCGTGGAGTAGAGGCCACAAGTGTTTCTGTCAACTCGCTCTTTTAAGACTGGCACAGAGTTAGACTGCATGGTTATTACCTTAAACTTGAAACAAATAGTCAATACAATTAAATTGGAAATGTTACAGTTGCTCCGGCAGAAGTCCTCTTCAGGTTGCATTCCTGTTAGAAATGGAATCGAAAACAAGATTGGCAATACTGTTCTGCCCTTGTACAATCTGTCGTGCAATTCCACTTGGAACGCACGTGTACTGCTCCGGTCACAGCACCTAAAAGCACACACTGCAGAGTTGGACAAGGCACAACAGAGAGAGCCAAAATGATCAAGGAAATAGCGTGGCTCCTCATAAGGGAGGATTGCAACATTGGGGGTTCCTTGGCTGAAAAGGACCAGGAAGGGAGAACATCACAGAGGTGTAGGACATTATACCTGCTGTGGACAAAGTGGACTGGGAGACATTCTCCCTCGTCTCTTGTAACGGTGGGATCCAACAAGTCATCCCATGAAGCTCATTGGTGGCAGTTCAAGGATGCCTCTTCACCACAGAGTTAAATTATGGAACCTGCCACCTCAAGATGCCCTGAGGCCCACCAGTCTGGATAGCAGTACTAGTGGAGCGGACAAATCCATGGAGGGGAGGGCTGTTGGTGGCTACTGGTTTTGATGGCTCTGTCCAGCTCTGTACGCACTGGTCCCTGGGAAGCACAAGCAGGGCGGTGCTGTCACCTTCAGATCCCTCTGGTGGATTTCACCAGGGCACCTGGTGCGTTCCTGGAGCAGGTGGGCCTTTGACCTGATCCAGGAGGCTCTTCTTATGCTATTTGAATTTCTGAAGGCGGGGTCTCTCCCACTGCTCTCCAGATAGCGCTGGTGCAATTGTGGGAGCCATATCTTGACAAAGAAGCTTGCCTGGTTTTGGGTGTCTTAAAAGCATATTTCCACTTGTGCTTGACCGTTATATTTGTTAGAATATGAAAGGATTATACAATAACAAGCCCTTTGAAACACAAACCCAGCTTGAAAAGCGCTGCACCCTTGGACCCTCTCCTTGCCCCAGGAGGTGGGTGTGCATGACAGCAAGAGACAGCCGCTCTTGACATCTTTTGCAGGGTTAATCCGCCTCCGCTCAAGCCCGCCCCCTGAGCTGCATGGGCCAGAATATGTCCTGAATGTTACAGCAACTGACGATAATGCCTCTGGCGGACCTGGCTCACTCATGAGCACCGCTCTGGTGGTTGTGCATGTGGATGATGTCAACAACAACAAACCTGTTTTTCAGAAGGTAACAGCTTCAGTGTCTAATGCAAAATGTGTGTGTGTGTGTGTGAGAGAGAGAGAGAGAGACAGAGAGAGAGAGAGACAGAGATATTTCGGAAAAGTTACTGGGGTGATGTGGTTAATCCACATGGACACAGTGCTGAATTTACAAGCTGCCACGGAGAGGATATTCTGGATGGCTTTCATGCCAAAGAATGCAGGCCTTCATTCTGGAGGGCTTTCATTCATTCAGTCATCGTGAGTCAGAGATGCCTTGACAGCAGATAGCAACAACTTGTGTGGTGGTTCCAATCCAGAAATTTCTGGGAGACTCTTGCAAACGCCTGGGGCCGCAGAGCGGAGTGCCCCTTATGTCAGATTGTGCTTCAGCCAGTTTTGCACTTGCTGTCATTTCTTGCCAGTGCCAGCATTATCGCGAGCACGCGTCCGTGCTGGAGAACCAGCCAGTGGGAACTTTTGTGTTGCAAGTCGAGGCAACAGATGCGGACGAAGGAGCCAATGGCAGAGTGAAATACAGCTTGATGCACTGGGATGGGGCTCTTCCTGCGTTTAACATTCACCCTGACACAGGTAAAACCGATGGGGTTGCAGCTTCGTTATCCGCGCTGGCCAATGGGGTGCCATGTGCTTGGTTCTCTGATGACTCTAAGATCAAGTCCAACAAGGAGAGGTATTTATTAGGATCGACCTAAATGTCACATGATAGCAAGCAAGCTCTTATGTTCATGCTAAGGGCTACCTGCTCAGCCATAGCTGGCCATTGAGATCAGACTTGTAGGCTTGTTGCCAAGATCAGTTATATTATTGGACGCACAAGGAGAGGTCCCTTGCGGTGAGGACCCGTCATTCTGGAATACCCTCCCCATGTGATACACATGGCCCTTATTGTGCGGTTGTGAATTTCCTAGAGAACTTGAGCTATTGGGTGGTTTAGAAATATAATAAACAAATAACCTGTGTTCCCAGACCGTGTTTTTATTATGCTCTTTTAGTTGCAATGTTTAGTTTTATGTTGCACTTTTATTGATAGATTTTATTTTAGGGTTTCAAAGGAAGTACCTCAGAATGGCTTTGCTCTAAACAGTGTGCCATATAACTTTTGGAAGGAAATAATTTAAATAAGTAAGAAATAAGTAAGTCAGCAGAGGAACCAGAGGAGTTGTGGGAAGTCTCGGGAGAAGCGCATCTGGGAAACTGAAATAACAAAATTGGCATCTGGTCACGATTCCTTGAGGCTCGAGCAAGGACAAGGTGCTGTTTTGCTTCTAATCACACTGGATGCAAAACTGTGAAATCAGCCAGCAACACCTGCGGAATGGGATCTATGACGATAATTATCCCTGTCTGTCCTGGTTACCTTTCAGCCCCTTCTGGCCTCTGTGCTTACAGCCGTCCCCCATCTTCCCAGTCAAGCATATGTGTCTAAATCTGCCGGCTGGAGATTCACACTTCAGGCATCTGATGAAATGAACAGTCTCTGTGCGAGTTTATGCCAGAATGAATGTGTTAGTCGTTAAGGTGCCGTAAGACTCATTGCCCTTTTTGCTGTGGCAGACTAACAGCTACTCCTCTGGAATCACTTGAGACTGGCTGGTTGGTCCAAAGAAAAAAGTGACCAAAAGATGGATTCTCCTTCCTTAATGAATCAACATTTCTTCCTGTATTTTGTGTCTTCCTGTTTCTTCCTGTATCACTGAGGGCACAGTCCTGTGTAAGTTTGGGCAGAAGAACTGGCTGAGGCAGCTGGGAGTTGTAGGCGTTTTTCCTGTCTAAATGTGCCAAGCCATTTGCGTTTCCCCTGACAGCTTACTGTGTCCCTGCAGGAATTAGCGCACAGTGGAAGGCTGCATTTCTGTATTTCATGCATGTGCTGTTGATTTAATTTTGCTTCTCCCTTGTTCCAACACTCATCATCTGGAAAAATGCAAGAGAAAATAGCCGACAAAGAACCCTTCCTTCTGTACTCTACTTCTCAGTGAAACATGCTGACAGAAATTATTTTGGCCTGTGGTGATGTTTGCAGGTGTCTTGACAACACTTCAGATATTCGACCGAGAAAAGCAGAGAGAGTACCCGGTCACTGTGATGGCGACGGACCAGGCCACGGAGCCTCTCATTGGGATCTGCCAGATCAACGTCATCATCTTGGATGTAAACGATAACAGCCCCCGGTTTGAGAACACCCGCTATGAATGTAATTGCGCCTCATTGGATAGAGTTTCATGTCCCTTTAGTGTGAGCCTAACTGAGGACTAAGTTTTTTGTGTGTGTGTCAGTTTTGGCTTTTTTGATGTTTTCCCCCAGTTGCTCAGTTTTATCTTTTGTAAAGGAAAAGAAAAAAGGTGATCATGCAGTGAAGAATGCTTGACGATAGAATGGGATATAAATGCCTGTAATAAATAAATAAATAAATAAAATAAATAAATAAGAACCAGTTCATACCTTTAGGGCTTTTCTATGCAAGGCATTTATAATGTACTTATCACTCCCTCCTAACAGAGTCTTTAGACAATGTTGTGCTTTTATGTCTAAACAGCAGCTTTGGAAAGCAGAGCAGGGAAATGAGGTGTTTAATTGAAAAAGTGAAAGAAAATGATTTTTCACTTGTGCATTTGCACTGTTCCTCGATGGCACAATGGCACCTGGAGGTCATGTAGTGGGAAAGCAGGAACGGAAATATTCTCTGTGAGGTGCTCAGATATCAATTCTGCAATGAAACCAAAAGTAGATACTGAATTAACAGCCAGTTAATGGCCTTGTGTAGAAAAGCTCCTGAAGACTGCAGCACCAGCAGTGACTTGCATGTGAGGAATGTGCCATCAGAGGTTGAATTCCGCTTGTTAAAACAAGAGATGCGCCCTGGCTCCATTCAGATAATCCTCCAAACAGCCACTTCCCCCTCCCGCTCTGTTCCACTCTAACTATAGTTTGCAGTGTTGTCTGAACTGATGGAGTTTGTTCAGCCAGCACTTCCAGCTAAACTAGGATTTCAAACCAGTGCAAGGGGTTAGACTCATAGAATAGTAGAGTTGGAAGGGGCCCATAAAGCGACCAAGCTGAACTCCCTACTGTTAGTAGGACCCCAGGAGAATGAACGCTGAGGAATGGGTGTCTAGCTCCATCTTGAATGCCTCCTTGGATCATCGGTTCCATTTCTGCATTGCTCTCACAAGTTAGGAGGCTTTTCCTGCTGTCCAGCTGGAATCTTGCTTCCCATAACTCTAGCCCATTCTGCTGGGTGTTGCACTCCAGGATGACTGAGATGAGTTTCTGGCCCTCCTCTATGTAACAACCTTTCAAACACTTGAAGAGCGGTGTCATACCTCCCTTCCGTCTCAAGGCTAACCATGCCAGTTCTGTCTGTCTCTCCTCCTAGGGCTTGGTTTCCTGATTACCTTTGCTGCCTTGCTCTGAGCCTTTTCCAGTTTGCCTGCATCTTTCTTAAACTGTGGTTTCCAAGATTGCTGAGGAAGAGAACACAAATATTTTAAGAGCTCTCACATGATGATGCAGCAAATTTGTTTTTTTGTTGCTCCAGAAGAGGGCAGGACTTGATCCAATGGGTCCAAATCACAAGAAAAAGTGATTTTGACTCAACATAAGAAAGAACTTTCTTTAACAATCAGACTGCCTTGGTGGACTGTCTTTCATTGGAGCTTTCTAAGCAAAAGTTGGAGTCTTTCCAGGATGCTATAATTGTGGATTTTCTCCACCAGCAGGAAGTTGGGCTGGATGACCTTGGAGGCCCCTTCCTACTGTATGATCTTGGGTAATTCTGTGCATTAATTGCCCCTGCTTCCTCTCCCTGAACCAACAGATTGGAGCATCATATATGTGTCAGCCCAGAATGGAGAACCAAGTTTGCACATTCTTTCCTGTAACTCAAGTTGCAATAGCTCTTGAGAACATTTTGCTGCATTAAACTGCACCATTGACTTAATGACTGGCATCAGTGTGGTCACCAATGCCATCAATTCCTCTTTCCTAGATTTCTTGAGAGAGGACGTAAATGTGGGGATGAGCTTTCTTCGTGTCACAGCCCATGACGATGACTATGGTTCAAATGCTTCTGTTACATATTCTGCGGCCAATGGGAAAACGAAATACTTCCAGGTCAATCCTACCACGGGTTGGGTTTATGTCAGCCAGCCCCTATTACAGGTAGGTTGCGTGTTGGCTTTGATCCGTAGCCATTTGTCGACACGTGGCGTATGTAACTGTTTGATACAGCAAGATGTCCAATTATAGGGATATGTAGCTTGATAGACTTGGCTCTCCCTTCGTGTACATTAGTCAGTCCACTGGCTGAAGGTCTGCTTCTCTTGAATAAATCATTTCATAAGCATAAATTCATGCACAGCAATCATGTCAAGTTCTAGTTCTGCCTTGGCTGAAAGGAAAAGAAATGAGCAGCAATGTTGGCCGGTTATAGCCAGGAGACTGGGATGGGGCTATTTTTCTCTTTACCTTCATATAAAACTCTCTTGAGTTCTACAGCTATAAATCTCTAAAGAAAATAATGATCTGTGAACAGAATAAATTATATTATGGAAATAGACCTTACACGGACGAATGCTCACCAAATGTGGAATAATGGCAAAGGGTAGGTGCTTTTATGGGAAGACAAAAAAGAAGGCACTAAAAGGCAGTACAGTATGTGTCTGATACCAGAGAATGGTTGGAAATAGAAGATGTTGGGAATGACGTCCAACTCATCTGGAAGAGAGCAGGTTGAGGGAAGCTGCTATGACAGTCAATGGCTACGGGTTGCTAAGGATGCAGTCCCATCCATGTTGAGAGAGAGGAAAGGTGTGCCACTCCCTGCCTGGGCATCTGGCTAAGGAGTGCTGGGAGCTAGAGGTCTCCTTTTTCTCCTATCTTTAGACATGCATAGGACTGTATCTTAATGCTTCCTCTGCTATTCGGGAGTCTGATAGTTCCTTTTGCGGTACATGAGACCATTTCTTGTATTCCTATGTGAACATTTGTTGTTGTATCCTTGACTGTCTTAGGCATGTATTAACAACATGGAAGGAGTGATGCAGCTGGTAGGTGTCAGTTAGAGCGGGCATCTGTGTCCGTGCCTGTGTGCATGGGCACAGAGGGTCCCTGACTGCTCAGCCAACCAGCACTGTATGTGGCCCTTGGGGCAGAAGAAGGGGTGCCCCCCAGTTACACTTGTGTGGTAAGAAGTTGTCCTGGAATACAGCTTGAAAGAAGACATGGAGTGGGCATTGTGGAAATGGGCAGGGCGTTCCTGTGTGTGTCTGTCCAGGAATAAGTCCCACTGAGTCCAGAGGGGCTTACTTCCTGGGCAGTGTGTGTGTGCCTGCAACTACCTGCATACTTCCCTGGGTGTGAGTGAGTAGACAAGTCGAGGATTGCATTGTTAGCTCATCCTGTACTAGGTCTAAAATGGGTATCAAGAAGCCACCAAAGGCTTCTGGAAAAAAGGAGCCATGGTTGATTTTGGTTGAGAAATAAAGAAGCTGGGAGGTGACTTGGTCTGTCTATAGCAGTATTTGGAACATAAGTTATAAAGAAAAATGTAGTAGACGTTAGCTGTAACTGAGCTGGATACCTGCAGTTTCTATTAATGTCTGTAAATAACTGTTTCCAGTTGAAATAACCCTTTTCTTCCCTTGCCAGAAATCCTTTATAACTCAAGACATCATAGCAACGGACGGGGGAAACAGGAGCAGTAAGGTAGAACTTGCGGTTACCGTCACCAGCGCAAAAAACCAGCCTCCTCAGTGGGACAGAGACCATTATGAAGTTGTCATTCCAGAAAACACGACAAGAGACACCTCCATTTTGGTAAGCTGTGGTGGGGTGGGGATCTTAGCAGGAATTGATCCTTGCCCTGCAGTTCATACGCGACTCCTGCAGGAGTCTCCAGACATACGCCATGCCCACAACTGCTAAGAAATTACAGCTGCAAAAAGAAGATCACATAATATCAAGGCCCCTTCCAGCTCCCTTGCCATTGTCCTACCTTTCTTGCTGCTCCACTGGTAACTCCCCCCCCACACGCACACACCTGGTGCCTGTTGCTATGGCAGGGCTCTGCGAGCACTGGGAAATGTAGTTTTCCCAGCACCACCTGCCAGTGTCACCAGTATGCCAGGCATTGAGGGAGGGGGGTAGACTGTCTTCCTTCCTGCCACCCTGATATAGCAGGGCAGGTAAAGCAGGGCAGGTGGGAGGGACAGATGTGAGGTTGGGGGGAAAGGGATTGGAGGTTCCTTGGGGTCATCATCCCATGGCATTGGTGGGAAACAGCACGGCCCACTTTTCTTGAAACAAACCTGCACCGTTTTCTGAGTTTGTGGGGAAGGCTGGAACGTTCAGTTACCCAAACCAGCTTCTGAGACACGGGGGGAGTTCTAGGGAGCGATTTCCCACGTTCGGCTTTAATCTCCTTGTGATGGAAAGCTCTCTTTGCACAGACTGTCCTCCACTGGGGAGGATGATGGATTTGGGCCTCCTCTCCTTTCTGGGGACATGGTGATTGTAACCATGAATACTGTAAACTCCAGCTGTGCCGAAGTCCAGCAGCCTGCACATCCACTTTGCAAGAGGAGGCCCAATCCAGACAACCATGGGGACCCCTTTGCATCAGCCACTTCCAGCAGGAGCAAGTCTTTCGCAAAACTCAGGCATCTTAGTTGCCCATTCATGACCAGGACGACCCCAAATACTTTGCATGAGGTCAGAGGACGACACGTTGTGACTGGGAAAAGGTAGACTTGTTGTAAGCATCGCTGCTGAGTTCAGAGGTGACAGGGAATTCTGGGGGCGAGGGCAGATGACGTTAGTAATCCTGCTCAATACAAAGCGCTGTGAGCTCTGACTCGAGTACACTAAGCCAGTGAATCTTATTCATTCGTGAAGTTCTGGGTTTCTACCCGGTCACCTGGACCTGAGAAGCTGGTGACAGCTGGTTGGAAGACCTGCGGCCATTCTGGGCCAACACGCTGGGTTAGATGCACTGTGTCCCCAGCAACAGAACGGGGCTCTGTGTACCTCATTGCTGCGTTCGTGCTGACCTGTTTCAACAGGCAGGGTCCTATTGCTGCCACTTAGAACCCACAGTGCAAGCGTCTTAGCCTTTTTGTGCGAAGAGACGTGTGTGAGAACTGCCTCTGATTCTGTGAACGTTTTGAATCACGCAGACAATCAAAGCAACCCCTCCCCTTGGCGATCCACGTATAACGTATAATCTGGAAGAGGGGCTGGTTCCAGAGACCAACATGCCTATCCGATTCTACTTGACCCCAAACAGAGATGACGGTTCTGCATCTATCCTCATCGCCGAGCCTTTGGATTACGAAACCACCAGGGCCTTTTCCTTGAGGGTTCGAGCCCAGAGTGTCGCCGCAGTGCCTCTCGCTGCGTTCGCCACCGTCTACGTTAATGTGACAGGTGGGTAGCTTTCCTGTGTAACCATGACTTACCTGGGAGAACCCTCTTCACCCCAGGTATGAACGGGCTCCCTAGTTACGAGGGTTCTTCAAGAAGTTTCCGCATTTTTAAACTCTATTCATTAAGAATTTCAAAAACAAATCACATCTTTTTTCTACATAGTCACCTTCCTTTATGATGCATTTTTCCAGTGTTGTACCAACTTTTTAATGCCATCAGCAAAAAATATATAAAATATATTTATAAAAGATAAAAGTGCAGGAACTTTGTGAAGACCACTCATAGGAACATGCTAGTTGGAGGTGCTGGTCTGTATCATGCGGAGAAGCCAAGAGGGGATTCTGGGGGCCATTTTGTAACTCCAAGAATGCCCCCCTGAAGACTCACCGAATCTCGTTTTTGTCTTTCCCCCCCTAAGCATTCTGAGATGCTGCTTTTGGGGGCTGGCTTTCAGCAAATACTGCTGCGTTGATGTAGCAACCAGCTGTATCTTATAATTGCTCTCTTCTATTTTCGAGGCCTTTCTTCAGCAATTGTGAGTGTGCCCTGGTTCGGTATTGTGTAAACCAGGCTCTTTCTGCTTTACATGCCAGGAAGTTACCTGATTCCTGGTTTATAGGCAAACCATGGTTTAATGGTTTGGATATAGCACAGACGTGCACTTGCCAGGAAGAAAGAAGTGAGGAAGGTTGGGGGAGGTGAGACGCTCAGGAGGTGCTGGACTGTTCCCAGTTCCATTAACCATGAGGCAGCCTCTCAAGGTAATATTTTTTTTAAATGTTGATAACAGCCTTTGAAGTTTCTGGGTAGGAATAGATTAATTTATGTTGCTCATTTCTTTGCTCATTTCATAGGCCCCACCTTTTCTCCTGCAAGGAACCCAAGGCAGCTTATGTAATCCTCTTCTCCCTTTTTTCCTCACAATGACCCTGTGAGGGAGTTTGGGCTGAGAGTTTGTGCGTGGCCCACCTGAGCTACTGTACAACCCGCTAACAATTATTCACACACATGCACCTGCGCGCGCACACACACACCCAGCTACACCTCTTAAGCATGGCAGTAGTGAAATGCACGGGCTGATTGTTTGAATTTTTAACATGTTTTTAGATGTCAACGACAACGTACCTTTCTTCACCTCATCAGTTTATGAAGCGTCTGTCACTGAAGGAGCCGAGGTTGGGACATTGGTTATTCAGGTTTCTGCCACTGACTTAGACCTTGGGCAACATGGTGAGGTAAGTTAAAACTTCAGGAGCTGCTTCCGTGTTTGACAGTCGTGAGAGGCCCTGTGCGGGCTTTCTCACCGAGTGTAGACTCAGTGGGGAATTACAGCTGATGGCAGCTCTTCAGCAAGTGCACTTCTGCGATACGCTTGCTTGTCACATTCACAATTTATGTTTTGCTGTGTGCAGATAAAACACGGGTGGGCCACACGCATCGCCCCCTCAAAAGGCAGGAAAAAATAAAATCCACTTGCTGCAGTAGTTTGGCAGCAAAGCGCTGCAGGGGTTTCCCTGAGAATGCCCCGCAGTGGTTAAAGGGCCCGTTTTTAATATTTCTTTGCTACTGCTGTGCCCCATTGGGCAGAGGGTTCTGTGGGGGGGGGAGGGGCACCCAAAGGTGCTCAGCCCAGGCACCAGGTGTGCCTTAGGTGCATATCTTGCTTCTGTGGAATGGCTTCGAGAGTTCATCACGTCATGCATCAAGCCACCCGGAGCCTACCTGTAGTGTCTGGAATTGTGGTGTTGGACACCATCCCTGGCTCAGGGTTCATGTCTCATTTCTCCTAAGAGTGTGGTGTGTTACTTTTGAACTGGGAGATTAAGTGCATAGAAAAGCATTGGGGAGTTGATGTTTTGTCATCTCTGCTGGTTGCATGTCGCCACTCTGAGGTGTATCTGCTGGAAAAGAAAACCGTAGCCTTTGTTGTACTCCTCTCTTTCGATCTTTCAGATCACTTATTCTCTGCTACCTGACCGCAGTGCCGACTATACATTTTTCCACTTGGACTCAAACACGGGTTCAATCTACACTACCTCTGTGTTTGATAGGGAAAAGAAAGCTTCGTATCTCTTGGAAATAAAGTCCACAGATGGCTCAGAGTCGGCTCGTCCAGGGAAGCACGGGCAACCCAATTCCGGTGAGCGGCTGCTGTGGGTCAGCCTGTTCTGGCACTGGGTGTTGATGCTTCAGCGAATGGGCAGCCTAGAAATGTTATACATAAATAGTGAGCCAGATTGCCACCATTTTGTGGCAGCTATACCCTGGCGTTGAGGGAAAATTGTCTTGTTGCATAAAACTGAACAACTGTCAGACTGCACACACCACGGGTCCTCAAACTACGGCACGTGGGCGGATCCAGCCTGCCATGCCCATTTATCCTCCTCAGAGGTTTTGGCCTCGCTGCGCCCCGCGGTGGCTTGCTCGTGTGGAGATCGTTTTGGGCTCACTCGGAGAACATGATCTCTGCGCGAGCAGGCCGCTGCCTCGCCGTGCGCGTGCCCTCCACCCCCGCCTGGCCCCCTCGCTGGCCCACGCCCCCCTCCGGCACGACCTTGCCGGCCTGCGCCCACCACCCGCACCTTTCAACTAGCCCCCCGTTGAAAACATGGGAGGACCCCTGGCATATACTCTCGCGCCTGAACCCATTCAGCATCACAGGAGGCCTGGAGAAGGACACAGTGAAGCCCACACCCCCTCAGAACCTGTATGCTATTGATTTAATTTCTACATCACCCAACTGTTGAACTTCTCTGGTGGCTCACAACAGCATGTCCAGGTTGTAGACAAGTAGACAAACCACTGCATACTGTATGGGAAACTTTCCAGGCTGGTGCCCCGCAGTTGCCCTGGAGTTGCAATGCCTATCATCCCCAGCCAGCATGCTTCTGTAAGCTTCAGGATAGGAAAGTTACAGCAAAGCTGTCCAATTGCTGTATTCGGCATCAGTTATTCACATGTTATCTGCTTAAACAAATTGGATGTGACATTCATTTGATATCCAAGTGCTTTTTTGAGAAATGTTGGTATTATAAATTGCCCGCAACCCTAAGGGTTCGTTCCTGTATTGTCTGCGTTATTCGTCTTCATTTAATGTGTAGCTAGACAGTTTAAGGAATTGTAGCTGACAGAAGTGGCACAGCCGAGTATTTTAATCTCTTGTTCCTCGTCTCTCTAGACACGGCCTACGTGCGCGTCTTTATCAGCGATGTGAACGACAACAAGCCCGCTTTCACCAAGAGCGTCTATGAAGTTAATGTGGATGAAGACCAAGATGTTGGATCAACTGTCATTACCGTCAGCGCTAATGATGAAGACGAAGGTAAAACTTCGCAATTCCCAGGAGCGGCACCTGAAATATTAATGAGTTAATTTTTCAGGAGCCTGGAGACGGTTCTTTAGCAGCCAGAGGAAGGGGGAAAATGTCTTTCTCATCTCTCCACATTTGTTTAAAGACCTCTCACTGTCTGGAGCTTGGCCGCTGGTGAGCATTCACTTTATAAAGGGCCTGAGAGGGCTTATGGCAAAGAGCTCTTCCTTTAGGGCAGGCCATGCATCAAGCACAGTCAGGTAGGGATGGGGGCTGCACAGCCAGACGCATCGTGGAGCACACGGCTCTGGTATAGGAAAGAGAGCAAAGGGTTTGTAGTTCTTCTGATCACACGATAGGGTGCGATTCTCCGGTTTTGATGGGATGATGGCAGCCCGTGTGGTGTTGTGGGAGCGCGTTGGACTGGGGACCTGGGGGAGCCGGTTCTAGTCCCCACTCGGCCACAGGGCTCACTGGGTGACTTTGGCCTGGACACTCCCTCTCAGCCTGTCCTACCTCACAGGGTTGTTGCTGTGAGGAGAAAATGGAGAAGAGGAGGGCTTCAGAAGTCGCCTTGGGTTCAGTGCAAGCAGAAAAGAGGCGGGATGTGGATGTCATGAGATGCTGGCAATGAAAGAGTTACTGGCAGAGTGGAGTGGGGTGAGAGTGCAGCCTTGTTCAAGTCTCACTCAGTGACCGTGGGCATCCGTGCCCCTGTCTCTGGCAACCTTCATGCTGGCCTCCTTACAGGGTGTGCATAAGAGTTGCTGTGAAGACATTACGCATGTTATGAGTTGAGCACTCAGAAAAAAAACAGTTCATCAATGTTTTATGTATTTATTCACGAATGGCCTGAAGCAAGAGATTTTGTGGATGCAGTGCTGGAGTTTTACTTTGCAAAATGTGGCCACTGAGGCCCAGCCTGGAGTCCAGTCAGGTTCTTGCTCATCATAACCTTGACTGGTGCCCATCCTCTTCTAGTTCCTCTCAGTTGCAAGGGAGAAATAGTAGTAGTAGTTTAGTTCATCTCTGGGCAGCTCACACAATGCATAAAAACAAATGATAAAATACAATTGAAATATCTTAAAACTCAGGAAAAAATTAAAATGTTTAAAACAGCTAAAAACAAAGAATAAAAAAGTACAAAGAATGATGAAAATGGTGCACTTTAAACAAGTTGTGGACTTAAAAGCGTACATTTGCAAGTTTTTCTTGAAGTGCCTAATATCGGAGGAGGTGTGTGTGGTCGTGCAAATTCGGTGAGGAAATGACTGTGAGGAGAAAGGGTGCAAAGGGTGCTGATGTTGCAACTTATATCCCACCTCGAGTGTGATTTAATAATTAAACAAGACTGATTTTAAAGATGCAATCTTCCGTTAGCGTGTCTCAAAAATGTGGAATATAAGGTAAAAGTTTAATAATGTAGACAGGCATTTAAAGAGGACTGAAGTGCATTTGTAGGATCCATGCAGAGAATTACGGCTATTGCTTCTAATCAGGTAGAATGAATCTCATTGATCTGACCTCCTTTTTCACGGTAATTCATTGGCTTTTTCCTGTCTGTGAAGCGTGGCCTGCAGGGAAGAATGTCTAATCCTAGGAATCCCCATTTCTAGGGACCAATGCAAAGGTGAGGTACCAGATCACGGCTGGGAACACCGGAGGCGCATTTGATGTCGACCCAGAGACGGGGCTCCTCTTCATTGCCCAGCCACTGGACTATGAGGACACCCAGCTGTATGAGCTTCATCTGTTGGCCTCAGATGGGAAATCGGAGGATTATGCTGTCGGCATCATCAACGTGGTGAACAAGAATGACGAAGCCCCTGTTTTCTCACTCAACGAGTATTACGGGAGCGTGATTGAGGAGCTGGATGGGCTTCCAGTCTTTGTTCTTCAGGTACATTTGGGTATGCCCATCCAAAATAATTGTAAGCTCAATCCAGGCAGCAGTCCCAAAACCCTCCAGCAAACACCATTAATGAAGAGCCTTACCAGGCTCCTATCAATAACTCGTGATGGAGGTTTGCTTGCCAGAAAATGCTGCAGTAGTTGCAGGTTGCAGTAGTGCCAGAGAATACAGCCCATTTTGATGGGCTTGTGACTGTGTTGGTTGCTGGGGCCACTGTAGGTCTTCTGCATCATGTGGCAACCTCCACCGAGTGAACATGCCCCAGACATGATAGATGTATGCAGAAAGAGGGGATCCTGGCCTCCAATATAGCGGTTGGGGTGTGTGTGTGTGTGTGTGTGTGTGTGTGTGTGTTTGTGGGAGGGAGGGAGGGAGGGAGGGAATACAGGGAATTGGGACTAATTCATTTACAGAGCTTGCCCCTTACCAACAGTGTATCCATAGATAACAGTTTTGCCAAAGTGTTTCAGAAACGAATTGAGCTATCTGGTGAAGATGGTATGTAGGTTCTGAGTATATGTCCTCTTGGACATGCTTGTGTCCCATATGTAATCTGCCTGCTCTTTCCATTAGAAAGATGCTGTGTCCACTGTTCGATAAGCATGCTACAGGTTCTCTTGTTCCTAAATGAGATACTGTGTGTACCAATTGTTCCTACCAAGTTGATACACATTGCTGAAATGTTATGGAATACAGTTACTTGAGCTACGCATTTTTAACTTCAATCTCTCTAGGTTGTAGCAAGTGATCCTGATAGTGGCTTGGATGGAGGAGATCTAAAGTATTCCTTGCATGGCCATGGTGCAGATGATGTGTTTGCAATTGATGAGAACACAGGTAGCATTTATTCCCAGAAAATGCTAGATCGGGAAGAGCGAGCTCTTTGGCGATTCGTTGTGCTTGCAACCGATGAAGGAGGGGATGGGCTGACAGGATTTGCAGATGTGATCATAAACATCTGGGATATCAATGATAATGCTCCAGTGTTCACCTGTATGCCCAGCGACTGCAACGGGAGTGTCTTTGAGAATTCTCCTGATGACACATTCGTTATGGAGATGACCGCTGTAGACATGGATGACGTAAACGTCGGCCTCAATGCCGTTCTGACTTACCGTATCCTGGAGAATGTGAAAACTGACTTTGATACAGACTTGTTCAAAATCAGTCCCACCAGTGGCAACATCTACGTAGCAGGAGGGATGCTGGACAGAGAGAGGGAAGAAAAATACCTCCTTAGGATTGAAGCCAAAGATGGCGGAGGACTGACGGGAACTGCCACTGCCACCATCTGGATTTCAGATGTAAATGACCACATTCCTAGTTTCACGCAGGATGTTTGGCATGCTGTAATTCCTGAGACCAGTGCTGTCAACTCAAAGGTCCTAGAAGTGTCAGCAGCTGATGGAGACAGTGGGGAAAATGCACAGTTAACATTCAGCATTATTGGGGGAGATCCAGAACAGAAGTTTTACATCGAAAACCATAGAGACCAGTGTGCTACTATCAGGCTGAAAAAGACCCTGGATTATGAGCAAATCCATGAAAGGTGGTTTAACCTTACCATCAAAGTGGAAGACTTAGATTTTTCTAGTGTCGCCTTTTGCTTGATCGAAGTGGAAGACTATAACGACCACAGCCCTGTTTTCAGTTCTCGGGTTGTCCAGCTGAGCCCCTTCTTTGAGAACATGCCTGTGGGTACCACCATTGTGACAGTAACGGCTGTGGATGAGGATTCTGGCTCGAATGGGAAGGTCGAGTATTCCATCCAGCTGGATTCGGATCCTGCTGAGCAATTTGCGGTAGATCAAGAGGGCCATGTCACTGTGTCGAAAGGATTGGATCGGGAGGTCATTCAGGAATACGGTTTAATTGTGCAGGCCTCTGATCAAGGTCTCCCTGCCCGAACAGGAAGTGTTACAATATTGATTAATCTCCTGGATATCAATGACAATGAGCCAAGGTTTGAGACCTCATACATGCCTGTGGTATGGGAAAATACACCAGGACCGCAGGTGGTTTTTATGAACCCTACGTCTACTCTTCTTTGGGCTTTTGATCCGGATGGTGATGAGAATGGACCACCTTTCACATTTCGGTTGCCACCAGATTATCAAAACCTTTTGGATTTCTCTCTTACTGACAATGGAAATAATTCAGCAACTATCTTGGCTCTGAGATCTTTTGACAGAGAGAAGCAGAAGGTGTTCCACCTGCCTATTATCATCAGTGATAGCGGAAGTCCCCCAATGAGCTCTACCAACACCTTGACTATAACTATTGGTGATGAAAATGACAACAGTCATGAAGCCGGCCATAAGGTGGTCTGTGTTTACACGCACCGAGGTAGGTATCGAGTAAACCCTGGGAGTGTCCACAGAACCGTGTTAAAGTCCTTCCAGAGGTTTCAGAGGGCTAGGGATCTCAAAAGAGAAAACCACTTCACACCAATTTAGAGCCATGATTTCCATCAAGTAATCCTAGAAATTGTTTGTTAGACAAAAATTCTCACTTTTGGAGAGAATGCATACAAGCCACAGTTTTTAAGATTCCTGGAGGAATCTTGTCTAAAGGTTCTTTGGGGAAGCAGAGGACAAAGCAAAAGTATCAAACTGACACAGGCTTTTTCTCTTGGTACGTCCTCAGTGACTGATGAATCAGCAAAATGAGATTTTACTTAAGACATGCATGTAATCCAGTGGGACCCCCACCCTGCCACCCCCAGTACAGTCAATCCTGTTGCCTCTGAAGGAAAGAAAAGGGGTCCTTCAAGGCAGCATTTTTTTCCTTCAAGTTTCTAGTCTTGCTTTTATAGAGCAGTTCAGGAGATCCTCGCAGGTCCCTTTTCTCCTTCTCTCTCTCTCCCTACCTGCTGCTTTTCCTCCAGATTATGGTATCCAACCCTGAGAATCTCAGCTTTCATTTAATAGGAAAAACACGTTTCTAGCTCGTATGGTTTTGCAGATCACCTGCATACGTGTGTGGCGATGCCTAATTGAATTACCCTTGGGGCACTGTGTCTCAAGCCGGATCCTCCCTTTGCACTTCCAGAACAACATTCCCTTCTTTGGCAAGAGCTCTGCATTCTCCAATGCATCTCCAGTCAGCACAACCAACAAAGAATGAGTCTCTGAGCATGCACAGAGGGGTTGGTCGAACCCAATCTAGCAATTACTTTGGAGCGTCCCCTTTCAAATACCCCGGGTCCTCCTCCCTCTGGGATGTCCCTTTTGGATATGGGCAAGCCTCTTCTCCATCTTTTGCCCCTCTAACTGATCACCCCATCTCTCCCAGTGTTGCATCATGGGGTCAAGAGTTGTGCCAGGCTCCGTTGGCTGCAGGAGTTGTAAATCCTTACCATGCTCAATATCTACCTGAACATCTTGGGAAGGTGGCCTTGAGATAAGCCCCTCCACTTCTTCTATTTTCATTGTCTATTTCGAGGGTTCCCAGGGTCCCTCTTCATCTGATGAATCTGGATCTGCCTGTCCTTGGAATGTGGACCAAGAATAACTCCCTTTAATTCCCATCACGTTGGTCCATTTTATCTTCTCCAACTATCAAAAATTTTCCAGGTATTCAGCCTGGTGGTTTATAAATGAGATGTTAGGGATTAAACTGGAGACCTCCTGCATGCAAACCATCGCTATAGTACCATCCTCTGCATTGTTCTGCTAGCAGTGGTGATGGATGGAATAAATTATACAAAACTAGAATATAAATGTACCAGGTGTTAGGTATTCAGGCTTCAGAAATTCACCTCGGAGCAGAATTCTGGGCTAGCTTGACATGACGACCTGGTTGTATTTTAAGATGTGATTTTGCCCAATCCTACATGTGATGTTGTGGTCCGGCTCTTCCATCTGCATTTCCATGAAAGATCCAGGCGTTTGCTGCTGCATTACTTGAAGAGTCTTGGATCATAACCTTTGTGAAAGCCAAGCAGCAATAAAAATGATGAACACAGCAATAAATGCTGTGGAATATAAAGCTCTTTGGAAAAAGGGGGGAAATTAATGCAGATTTATTATAATTTATCTCAACAGGAAAATGGTCAACAACAGTGCTTGGGGAAGTGTTTGCGCCTGATCTGGATGACTGGGACAATAAAACATTTGTCTCTGAAGGAAAAATGCACAAGTGAGGATTATATTTGTGTCAAGCAGAGCAATATTTAATATTTATGCTTCTGTAATTATTTTCTTATGCTTCATTATATATGTTACATATATAAAGCCAGGATTATTGTTTGGTATGGAGATGGCAGTCTGTTTTAAATTTGTATTTTGCATTTATGGGAACTTACCGTTGTGCATCTCCGTGGCCTCGCTGGCGCCAACTCAGTTTTGCCTCTCGGGCAAAATATCAAGTCCTCCTTTTCCAAAGGTGTGAAGCAGAATTGATTTAGGAAGCTGGCCAGGTCAGTGCTCTGCAGTTTAGACAGCAGTCCCATGTGCCACGGTGTGTCCCCAGCAGGCAGGCAAAACAAGAACGGCAGACGTGCATCCATGAGCATCGGGGTGCGTGCCCTGAGGAACTCCACCCCCGCCAGTGCACTTGACGTGTGTTTAAGGCCATGCATCTGTTCTCTGCTGGCATCTCGGGTCAGCGGTATGGACCAGCAGGTGCTGCCTCCCTCCCAGCAGGGGTCCATGGCCAGCTCCAGAGCGTTTGGTCTGCCTTTGGACATTCCCTTTCAGTCAGCAGCAACACCCATAAAGGGAAGGAGCAGTCTCTCCTACTTGCCGTGCCCATTCAAGCCAGCTGGCCACAGGGAAGGAGGTGGAACAACTCACAGATGTGAGCCTCCTGGAGGCGTCTTGTCCGAAGGAGCTCCTAAAGCTAGACTGGGCCTTCTCCACCGGCACTTGCCCCAGTCAACACTGGTTTTCAGTGGTGTAGCAATGTGCCAATGATGCAGTTTCCCTTCATCCGAGGCCCCCTGCCTATGTTGGACTACAACTCCCATCATTTGGGAGTGATGATAATTGGTGGTCCAACAGAGCTCATGTGCCCTAGGCCAGGGAAGGCTGTGCTGGTTTAATTGTGCAGCCATAGCAGGCACGACTGCACTCACGGCAGGTGGGAACGGCCGGGTGCATAACGCTTCTTCGGGGCGGCTACAGCAAGGGTGAGGACCTGGGAACAGGAGCAACCAGCAAAGCAGGGCACCAGATCTTCATGGGGCGTTCCTGCAAAATCCATGTGCATTTAACTTCATGCTGAAGTGCTCTCACGCAGTCGTCTCTGTGAGAGTGATTCTTGTCAGGAGAAGCATCCAAATCAGTCGTGAGTAAGCCACAGAGAGGAAATAATAGAGGCCAAAGGTAGAAAGGGAGTCTCTCTCAGTTTAATCAACCTCTCTGTCTTAATAAGAGCCTTGTACCGCAGCTGAAAAACATGTCCCGGGATGCTTAACTAAAACAACTTGTCCTTCGCAATGACGCATGCTGTTTGTGAGACTCTGTGTCAACGTGGGGCCCGTGTGTGTGTGTTTCTAGGTCTTTCAGATTAAATCAAAGGACTGGCTCTCTGATCATGGTGGATAATGCTCCTCAGGGAACATATGAGTTTAAAATCAGAGTGTCAGATGGAATTTGGCCTGATGTTACAGCAACCGTGCAGATACACGTCCAAGAGATAGAAAACGAGGCCATTTGGAATTCTGCAGCCCTCCGTCTGGCAGGTTAGTTCCATCGGACAGTTGAACCTGATTGCTGAAAGCTCGCTCATCTTACTGTGAGGAGCGGCCCCGACAGTCAGAAGAAGAATCTTTTTAAAAGCGGTTTTAACGCTTTATGACACGTGCGGTAGATTTTCTTAAGTTGTATGCCAGCCTGCCCCAACCTTGTACCCTCCAGATATGTTGGACTACAACTCCCTCAATGCCTGTATGTGCTGAGGATTGTGGGAATTGTAGTCCAGCTCATCTGGATTGCCCCCAGTTAGAGAACTCAGCTGTATTTAAAAAGTGGCTTTTTCATGAATGTTGAATGTTGCCTCCATTTCCTTGGGCAAAGAATGAGAGAAAATGTTTTTAGTACATGCAATGGCTGCATGTTCTGAGATGCTTGGATTGCTAACCGGGCATTGTTTTTAAATCATCTGTCCATATCAGACATGACGGCGGAAGAGTTCATAAGGAAGGATGAGCCCGAAGAAAGCAGGTATGACAAGTTTAAAGACCTGCTAGCAGGAATCTTTTCGGTCCGTATTGAGGACATCCTGGCTTTCTCTGTGACAACCACTGATGGGAGGCAGACAGATGTGAGGTTTGCAGTTCGGAACGGCTCCTCCTATTACAGGCCAGAAAAACTTCAGGGGCAGATGGCTGCCTTTAAGAACAAGGTGAGGTTGCAACTTTGCTGCTCTCTTGGGCTCCCAGGGTACCTTGGGCACAAAACACAACCCCTGGCTCCATGGAAAGCCACACGGGAAGGGCAGGAGGCTGCCGCTGCACAAGCACAGCTTAAGACCAGCAGTGGGCAGAGTCCCAACTTGCAGGATCTGCTTAGGCGTTTGTACTGCAACCGTCAGAGCCAGGGACAAAAGGCAGCGTGGCGCAGCTGTTCCTGGGCAGGTCACAGCCCTTCCGGGCAAAGATCTGCTCAGCACTGGAAGCCAGGAAGAGTCTCCGGTCTGTCAAGAGTCTCCTTCCTGTTTGGAGGAGAGTGAGCTGCCTTGATTCTGCCCCGGGGCTTTGTTCCTGTAAGCCGGGCTTGTGGAACCTCTGTGAATCTGGAGACCGGTGCCTCTTCCATGGATCCCAGTGGAGGCTGCGTCCCTCCACACCAGCCATGGCAAGACACTGAGCTTTTCCTTTGAGGCAAGCCATTTGGGGAAGGAAAACCGCACTCCCAGTGGTCCAAGGCACTCAGCCTCCATGGGCCTTACTTTAAAGGAAACGGGGGATTCTTTGGTCACCTGGGTGGCAGCAGAAGTGGAGGTGGTTGGCAGCAGCAGGGCATTCAGAAAGGCCCAAGGGGGCTGCGTGAGGCCTGTGGATGATGGATCACCAACTCCTGCTGCAGCCCAGCATGGCCTGCGGAGATCAGCCTCAGCACTCCGAGGTCTCAGCCAGAGAAAGGCCTGTGGTCCCTCCCACGCTTGGGGAACAAAAGTGTTGGGCCAGGAAGACAAGAAACGCACCCAGTGACTACAGCATTTATGCCCCACCAGTGGGGCACTCACAGGCACCTCCAGTAGCACCCATTAACCCCCTCCCCAGTGCAGTTCCCACAGACACAGCACAGTTTTCTTCTGAAGTTTCCATATGCATAAATAGATCTGTCCATATCTTTAGCAGCGGACGCATATGCAATGCACACAACAGGTTCTGGCAACTATGCATAGATTTCAAGTGGGTAGATAACCAGATAAGAGTGTGTTTGAAGGCAGTGTCTGGATGCCTCTGTGTTCAAAGACTGGATTTCAGTCCATTGCATTCTAAGAGGAGACTGTTTATGCTTCCAGAGTTGTAATATCAGCTTCTTAGCTATGAAAAGGGTGTGGAGAATCCATTTACTTCCTTGAAGGAGCCAAGTAATTTAAAAGTACATGTAGATCAGTGAATAGTAAGGACTGTTCTGGTACAAAATTATCTGTGTGATGCCACCCCATTGAAGCAACAACTGGACATTGCCAAAGCAATGCTTAAAAAAAGCGTTAGCTGCATTGCGCCAGCAGCAACCAGCTGAATTGAACGATCCTTTACATAAAAGGGACACTGAGATGTCCAGTAGAGACACACACACACACACACACACACACGCGGATTGCTGAATAAGACACAGTGTGCAGGTTGATGGCCAAAGCAGTGATCCTCTGGTCAGGCACTTTGTGGTGGTATCCAGAGCAGTTTTCCAAATTCCAGGATGCGTCCATGGGTCCAAAACGGTGGGGAGCCCCATTCAGAGGCAGAAAAATGATCTGGAACCCGGACAGGTTTTCACTGCGGGCTGTTTGCCACACTGCCTTTTCCCTTCAGATCCAGTTGGCTCTAGGGGTCAACATTTCTCAGATCGGTGTCGACGAATGCCGCAGGACAGACTGTAGTGCCGGCAGTGGCTGTGCCAACTACATCACGGTGAGTGACGTCCCCGCGGTGATGGACACCGGAAGCGTGTCGCTTGTCTCGACAGCCACCAGCGTCAGTGCCATCTGCACCTGTGCAGCTAGAGAGGCTGTTCATCGGTCATGCAGCTCCTACTCGCGCAACCCGTGTTTCAATGGAGGGACATGCACTGATTCGCTGAACGGTTACAGGTGAGAGAGGCTCCGTATGCAAGTCTTTCCCTCTAATTGTAAATGCCAAGCTTGTGTGTTATTTTTGCCAGGTGACAGCTGGACCACGCGTTCTTCTCTGCAACTCCATTTTCCTCCCCCTTTTCTGCTGTGTCTCTCTAGTGTCTCTTTCTAGATTTTAAGTCCCCTGGGGCAGGAACCTGGCTCCTCATTCAATGCATGCCTATATTTCTTGATTGCTTATTAGCAATGGCATTTTTTTACTACCCAGTAGCCAAAGCTCTCTGGGCAGTTTATGATATAAAGGTTAAGACCATAAAACACACCAGTAAAATATAATATCATGCAACATCTAAAGCTTCATGTGCATAGATGCCGAAATAAGTAATACTATAATTCTGCATGAGCTCACTCTCATTTGCTGTTGGTTTTTTCAGGTGCCGGTGTTCTACCTCGTTTCATGGGCCAGACTGCCAGCAGACAAAACGCAGCTTCCGGGGAAATGGCTACGCCTGGTTCCATCCCATCCGGCCTTGTTTTGAGAGCTCCCTCTCTCTCGAGTTCATTACCGATGTTCCAGATGGGCTTTTGTTGTACGATGGTCCCTTGGCAGATTCAGGCCCCGGCAACTCAGAAACCTTCACTGCAATAGGTATTTGCGTTTGTGTCGCACAGCAAGCAACCTGCTTGGGCCAGGCGATGAAGAGGGAATCCTGATGGTCCGAGTGATGTTGCTCATCTCTCTGTAGTACAAATTCTAAGCTGGCGAGTCATAAGACGGCATGATATTTTTGCTGAGTGTCCATGCTGGGACTCCCTGCTGTAACACACTGCGACCTCCAGGGATGTCCTGAGCAGGGGGATGTTCCAGGGACTGCACCACAGTGGGGCAGACTGGTGACCGCACTGGGCTTGTTTAGAAATAGGGAGGTGACACAGCCCGTGATGCGAAATGGGCCATGTGCAGGCACCCCACGGCACTCTTCGGTGGCCCTTGCGGCGCAGAGGGCAGCCGTAACCTTGTGCCAAAAGGAGGACAAAATTGGCTCCAGCTGGGCTGCAGTGCGGAGATGACTGCACAGCATAAATAAATTCATTGTGGGACCAAATATGACTTTGCCCCTTTCTTCCTTGTGAAATCTTAGAGCTTTGCAACGGCGTTCCAGTGCTGAAGGTAAACCATGGCCTAGGGATGGTGGAGCTCCGTTTGCCGGGATATGTGAATGTCACTGACAGAAGGTGGCACCGGCTTGAGATGAGGAGCAGTGAGCAGGTCAGTTCCACGCCCGGCATGGGCAGTTCTGTGAGCCCGTTTTTGCTGCTTGCCTTGCCGTTGCACGGGGAAGCACAGGAAGGGGCGGAGGATTTGCGATCCCTTTGAACAACCAAAAGGTGCTTCGTAATTGGTTTGTGTAGCCTTGATGTGCACCGTGTGTCTCCAGGGAGTACCATTTGCATTCCTGTCCTGCCTTCCTCCAAAAAGCTTGAGTGAGTGTACTTGCCTGATTTAAACATATATAGTATTTCTGCACTGTGCCACATTCAAACAGATTCTGGAGAGCGGCACAGAGGTTAAAACAAGGAAGAGAATAAAAACAATACATTGAAAGAATTCAGGAACAAAATAGTATGAAGAACATGGATGGTCAGCTGGAAAAGGCTTCCGGATTAAGGGTGTCTTACGAGAATGAAGAAGACGGCCAAGTGTTGGAGCCTGCCTGACCCCCCAAGGTTGGGGTTCTGCAGAAATGGGGCAGTCACAGTGAAGGCACTTCTCCCAGTGGAAGCCAGTGGGGCCCTGAGTCTGTGTGGCACCTCCAGGAGGACATCTTCTGCCTGTGCTGACTGGGCCCTTTGCAGAGCTTCTCTCCCTGCCTTTCTAATCCTCTGTGGGGTAGGTGAGACTGAGATGGACAGAGAGGGAGAACAGGTGAGAGGGACTGTTCTCAGATCAATCAGGGAGCATCGTGAGTGAGGGGGGCTCGGGACTCCTGTCTCAGTCTGGCACTTTAACACACCGCATCATGGAGCAGGCGCGCAGCAGCATGAATGCCGTGTGCATTTGTGGCACGGATGGTGTTTGTGTCTGCAGCAAGCTTGGTAACTTCTGGGGATTGCCAGAAAAGCCCGTCGGATGGACCTGATTGGCAGCACCACGAGCAGGGCTTCTGGGCCAGCCTTAATTTATTTGATTTCGTTTGCTCATCGCATTCATACCCTGCGCTTTTCTGCTTTCAAGGGAGGCAGCTCCCCGCCGCTTCCTTCTCCTCTCAGTCTTATCCTCAGAGGGTTGTTGGGAGGGCTGGGCCAAGTCTGTGGCTGGCCCAAGTCACCCAGGGAGCTCCACAGCTGAGTGAGGACTAGAGGCGGATCTGCCAGGTCCCCCGTCCAACACTCACCACCACCCCTCAGAGGCTGCTACGAGCCAGCCAGGAGCCTCCGTGCAGGCAGTCGCCCAGTGATCTTGTCGTGCGGAGCTCCTGTTTCTGCACGGGACATGCCCTGCCTCTCATCGATTCTTCCAACCGGGTTTGCACCTAGTGAGCCTCAGCAATGCTGCAGCATCGTATGCCCCTGGTCCATGTGCTCAGCCCCAGTTTTATTGCAGCTTAGCCTGCATGGTCTCCCCAGTAAAGGAGGGTCCTTTGTTATCTTAAACGGCTCTCGATGCCCTCCAAGTGCTTTGGACTGGAGCTCCTCGCATTCCTGACCATTGGCCTTGGCAGTTGACGCCCTCAAAATCTGGGTGGTACTGGAGAGAAGGGTGCTCCATTAGCCTCCAGATTCTTCAAAACTGGGTTGGTCATTTTGTATGTGCATACAACAGGCTGAGTACATTTGGGAGCTGCTGGGATCCACCTGTCCCAGAGGTCATTCCAGCTCGCTGCATTCTTCTGGATGAACTTAAGGCTCATGTTTAAGTTCCACCGAGGGATCAAGGGATTCAGTGCCTGTTTCAGAGTGTTGATCTTGCATTTGTTTGCCCCCAAGTTTAATTTTTGAACAATCTGACATTGCAGTTCTTTGCGTTACAGCATTTGAATGGCTTTCTGTGTTTTGCCCAGGAGGTTCGATTCATTTTGGATCACTGCAGAGCTGCGATTGTGTCGGAGATAGAAGGAGTAGGAAAATGGCTGTTTACGGAAGACAGGACAAACTGTGAGGTTGTGGCCTTTGTTCCCCAAGCAAACAGGTAACATTTAAATTACCTTCCAGAATTTCACAGGGAGATACATAAATATCTGCCAAGATGAAAGCCACAGTTGTCAAATCCTTTCTGAGAACTCTTTTCCTTCTGTAGATTTAATCCTCCAGCAGCCCCGTCGTGTGCAGAATTAGCCTCCGCTAAACCCATTGAGTTCTGCATCCTATCAGGCTACCCAACCGTAATCCTAGGCCTGCTTCCTTGGCACCGAAGAAAGAGGGGCTTAATTCTGAGTAGGGATGTCGCTAGCATTCGGGAAGATCTGTTTTCAGAAGCAGACACCAAATTCTCAGCAGCACTGCAGCCCTGATTCTGCCCTGCTCACAGCCGGCCACAGAGAGCTGTCTTTGTCCCAGACCTGGGAGCTTTTGCTGCTTCCCGCTTCCACCTGCCCCAAGACTCCTCTGTGGAAATAAGACCGGGTCTTATATTAATTTTTGATCCAAAAGATGCATTAGGGCTTATTTTCAGGTGATGCCTTATTTTTTTTCTTACAAAAGCCGTAAGATTCTTGCCCCAAGAGTCCTCCATGATTCCTTTCTTGTACTCAATGGAATAGTTCTTTCATTTTGCACTCATTTTGTCTGGGGGTCAAAATATTATTCCCTTTAAATCTACCATTAAATCAAGTGTTAATTGAAGACTTATGAGATGGGAGCGGCAAAACAACAGTGCATTAAGTACATCCGTTACAACACACGACGTATTGAATTATGAAACATTTCTGTTCGTTATCAAGTGCACACGTAATTCGTGTGTTGAGTCCATGCTCCGATTGGTCATTTGGCAATGAGTCTCGAGTTCATCTGTTTACATAGGCATTTACCTCTCATACAAAGGCACCCAATTTGGTGTTTACAAATACCTAATTAAAATGTATATTATCATTTATTTTAAGTATTAATCTCAGTAATATTATTTATTTATATTTAATAATATATTCATACTATTATTTTATAATTCGATATGTCCCTCGTGTGTTGCAACGGACGTTCTAAATGCGTCTGTCTGGCTGACAATCTGAACTGGGGCCTATTTTGGGAATAGGGCTTATGTTATGAGCATCCTGAAGAATCATGCTAGGGCTTATTTCCCGGGGAGGTCTTATTTTTGGGGAAATAGGGTAGCAGCAGATCCTGCACTTCCCTGCTGGCAGGGGCTTCACCGGCCACCCAGGTGTTCCGCTTTCCCCAGCAGGAGCGGGACATGTGCCAGCCTCCCCTGCTCAGGCAAAAGGTGCTCCATCGGCTGGAACGGTGCCCCTTCACCGCGCTGAAGGAAGGCACGGAGTGTGAGGTAGCCCTGCCCAGTGGGAAAAGGGGACCAGGCTGCTCACAGCTACTACCTTCACCGCCGCCATTGCCTGCCCACAGGGAGGTCTCTTTGCCCTCAAGCAGGATCCGGCATCTGCAGGTGCTTCCTGAACACCTTTCGGGGATTTATACTGTATAGGCATGAGCAGCCGCTCAGATGAACTAATCTGCTTGGCCCCATGGATCTGCTACTTATCTGCTACTTAGACCTGGAGGAGAACTGGAGTGGGGAAGAGGCCTCGAAGGATCGCTATATTTCTATTTTATTTATTATTACCTACATAGCCTGCCTGTTCCCCTCTGGCAAGGAAGCCATGGGAGCCCACACGCTCTTCCTCCTCCCTCTCTGTAAGACCCTCACAACAGCCCTGTGAGGCACGTTAGGATGGCTTGAGTTACCCTGACGCCTCCTGCCTTGCATTCGCCTGCAAGGCTGCTCAGCAGGCGTGGGCACCTTTGAGGGGCTTGGGAATGCTCTTGGCCCAGCATTTTGCACCAACATTCCGTGGCCAGCCGCCACCATGGCCTGAAGGGCCAAAGGTAGCCTCCAGAGGTTTCAAACTGAGCCTTTTCGGCCACTGCCACTGTTTGCCACCCAACTGTGGTGGCAAAGCATGGTTTTTTGCTCCCGTGGCCAACGCAGTGGTGGGGACCACGCTTATGCTCAGGGTGGTGCATGTGACGCACAGGCCATGTATGGCCTGCCCCTGCTTGTACACACTTGCCTGGGAGTAAGTTCCAGTGAGTTCTATGGGACTTGCACCTGAGTAGATGTGTCTAGCAACGCCTTAGTAACAGTGCTTGAACTTCACTCCTTTGGAGTGGGAAAATTCATTTATCCATTCTGTGCAGGCAGTTCTGCTTGTATTTTTGTAGTATAATTATACTAACATTCATCTCTTATTTAGCACCTCTGTGTTTTGAAGGTACTTGAACATGAACCAGGTTCTTCAGTTAGGTGGAGTAAAAGAGTCCATTCCGTATTCGTATCCCCAGTTGCAACAGAAACATTTTAGTGGCTGCATTCGCAGTCTCACCTTGGACACTCAGGTAAGTGACAACTTCCGGCAGACAGAACAGGTTTCCATCAATATCTCAATTATGTTTTAGATTTTTGAAAAAATATTTTTAAAAGAACAGAGATTTTAAATCTTTCATTCACCAAACACTATCTTTTATGTATCGCACTAGTTGGTTTTTAGATTGTAAGCCCAAGATCAAGCACTTCCCAAATTGATTGATCCTTGTAAGCTGCTCTGGGAGCCATTTTTTGGTCAAAGAGCTGGGTAAAAATGCCTTGAATAAAAGAAATAATACATATTTCTGCTTCGCAACTTTGGGATCAAGCAGGTCTTATATTATTTTCCTGTCTGTGGCCTTCTCTAGGCTAGGAAAGTCAAGTCTGCTTAAGTATAGGCTAAACGAACTCTGCTGGTCCGGCCCTTCTCATAGCCTACTTTGATTGATGGGGCTTTTTTGGTGCAATTTTATCATATATGAGCCATCAGTTGTGCTCTGTTTCCATAATCTCACATGGGCTTCATGTTGCCAAATAAGATGCACATTTTGCCTTTTTGAACTTGAAGGCATGTTTCTAGTTCTCAGTAAAAACAAAAGTTTGAAAATGCATAGGTTGTGCTTGAAAGCTGGTCCTAGAGGCTGCCACTGGGGCCTCTCCACACAAAGCCAGAACTGCCCTTCTCCATGAGTCCATATCCATCTCTCCATGCCTTGAGGATTCCTACTTCTTCTTGTGCTATCAGTGCAGCGTTTTGCAAAACAACCTGAATTCTCTGGGAAAGGAAAAGATGCCCTACACAGGGACAGACACTTTGTCCATCAAACCCAGTTTTGCTGACACGGACTGGCAGCAACTCTCTAGCAGGAGGCCATCTCCCAAGCCTGGTGTCATTGCAGACATCTGGAGGGCAACTGGCAATGGTGGATGTGCCTGTGGGGAGCTGAAGCCCAAACAGCAGGAGTGGCCAGGTTAGGGACGGCTGCTTCCGTTCTCGACTACGAACCAGACTCTTTCTGTCACTTGTGACCTGAAATGGAGGTGCAAGGCAGTGAACTCCAAACTGTGAGTGTGCGAGGCAGGGGTCCTGCCACTGAGCTCTGCTCTCTCCTTTAAGCTGGAAGGTTGCTAGAAATAGAGGGAGCTGCCTCGTGCCACGCTTATGTCCCGGTCTGTCAATGTTCAGGGTCTCTTTGGCTGGAGTTGCCCTAAATTGGTCTGAGGCCTTTGGTAGGCAAAGCAGTGTTCTCTTCCCATCGAGCGGTGACCGCCCCCTGCTTCTGGAGACAGAGAGACCCACACTAGTGGGGATTTGGAAGGTGGAGGGCCTGTGAAGAGCTGTATGTTCAGTTCATTTGCCTAGGAAATTTTTATCTGAACCTAACTAGGATTCATATGCATCATTTAGAGACTGCAGTTCGGTGTGACTTACATCAGTAGTTTTCAGCCACTGGTCCATGGACTGGCACTGGTCCATGGGAGATTCCTGGGGTCCAGGGTGGGGGGCATCCTGCTTGTCGTGGACTGGTGTGGGGGCTGGCTGTGATTTACCACCTCTTCCCTAGCTGGCATCGTCTTCGCGGGGAGTGCATGGGAGCTGCTAGAGGGGCAGAGAGGGGAGAGACGGCTCGGTGGGAGCTGGCGGGGCGCCATGCTGCACCAATTTCAGTATTTTGTTGGAATTTTTTGTTGTTCGGTTTCTGTTGTTGCCATTTTTTGTTGCTCAGTTTCTGTAGTTGCCATGTTTGGGCGAATTTTCATTTTTTTGCTATGTTTTGCTCGGTTTCTGTTGTTGCTATGTGTTTGGAAACTAATACACAGAATACTGCATTACATGTACAGTGCTTTTTGTTTCTGCCTCAGCAGTCCCTGAGGTGGTTTTCCTGTTTTTGCCAGTCCCCAGCTGTGGAAAGGTTGAAAACCACTGGCTTCTATGACACCAGGGGATTGATCTGCCTTCATGCCAAAACCAAAACATGGTTGCACTTTCCTAGTGATCTAGAATGCTGTGAGTCTCTTTCGGAGCTCCCTTTGTTTGCTCTCTTCTCTTGGCCTCTGTTTACAGGTGTACGACCTGGAGTCCCCTGCGGAGTCCGTGGAGAGCTCTCCCGGGTGCTCCTGGACGGACGGCAGCTGTGAGAGGACGGGTCCCCCCCCATGCGGCCTTCATGGGCAGTGCCACAGCGAGGGGGGCTCCTTTACCTGCCGGTGCTTGCCGGGCTACTACGGCCCCAGATGCGACAAAGGTGCAGACATGCTCGTGCGTGGCTAGGGGAGCGCGGCCTATTTTCCCCAGACCTTTTATGGAGGCAGCCCTGGGAAAGAATATCTTGAGGAAGGTCTGCTCCAAGATCTGTCAAGCTGGTGCAGAGGGCGCATTGCCCATTAGCTAAGGTCAAATGAATGGAAGCAGCTCTGAGAGATCTGGACTTCTTCCCTTCCATGCACACTTCTCCATAACAGTGCACAGTGACTGTCCGCTGTTAATTGTGGTTAAGGTAAAACTGGATGTCCCAGCCTGAAATTTTGGAACCTGGTCAGAAAACATGCTCTGTTTGCTGACTGCTCACAGATGCTCTCTCATTCTTTCATGCTTGTTTCCTTTCTTGGAGGAGGTGCAGCAGTCAAATTTTTGCCCCTGGTAAACTGGAGAAACTTTTTATTTTCCACCGTGAACAGGCTAATGCCAAATTACAACCCTCTGCTTAAAGTTTTCTGCTGTTGTAGTTTTTGGGTTTTGTCTCAATTGTCCATGTGCTGGGCTTGTGTCTGAGCCCAATTCAGAATTTTTTTTTACTTATAAAACTCTACATGACCTGGGACCTCAGTACCTGATGGAATGTCTCCTTGTGACAACAGAGAAGAGGGCTTTTCAGTTTGGGGCGCCCAATTCTGGAATACTTTTCCAAGGGAAACTCACCTGTTGTCAGGTCAAGACGCTCCTGTTCTCCCAGGCTTTTAAAATCTTTTAAAGTAATTTTTCATATCCAAGTATTTTTGTATTTTATTTAGTTTAGTCCCTGTGGTGTGATTTTACCTTTTTTCACAAGATAAATGTGAAAAATCTGTGCTGCCTTGGCACTTTTATTAGTATATCTTCTTGATTTTATTGTGGTGGTAATGATGATGTCGTGCACAGTAAAATGCTTAGAAGAATGCATTTAATGGGGAATTCTGTCAGTCAGTCAAATCTAGCATGTGTGTATCTGCATAAAACCCGCCTTCCTTCCCCAATTTTGCCAGGTGCTGAAGAATACACTTTCCGGCCGGGGAGCTACATTCGCTACCAGCTTCCCTTTCCCGTGCCTGCCCGCAGAACCCTGGCAGAAGCCACAATACGGATCCGAGAGCCCAATGGTATCATTATGAGCTTGTCTTCTCGGAACAAGGATGAGCACATCACCCTGCAGGTGAATGAGGAGCAATGGCCAAACGGCAGCTCTGAGTGAGTTCTGCTTTGGCCAAGTGAGGCAGAGATGAGAAGCAGTCTCCCTCCCTCCCTCCCTCCCTCCCTCCCTCTCAGTGAGACTGTTTTTTCTCCCCGTCTCCCTTGGTCCCTTTTGCTCAGATTTCAGCAGTGGCTGCAGGCACCCGAGCGGCTCTGTAGGACTGGAGTTGATTGCCAGGGAATCCTGTCAAATCCGCATCCGCAGACTCGCTTGCGCTGCTTGCACAGCCACTTGTGGAGACAGCAGCACATGCACAGTCTGTGCAGGAGCACAAGCTGCTTTTTCTGTAATGGCAGCTCCCCTTTTTGGCAGCAGCTGCAGCCGTCCAGGCCGAGCTCTCCTTGGGCAGCCTGGCCCACAGAAGCATTCCTCCATGTCCTCTTGGCAGGTGCGAACACTTCGCCTGCAAGACTAGGCAGGATCAGACCCTTCAGACTTTCTGGAAGCTGCATATTGTGTTCCTGTGCAGAGCCATGGCATAATTTGAGGAGCTGCTGCTGCTGCTTCTGTCCCCCGTGTTAACCAAACCCTTGCGGTCTCCTCCTTCAGGAGTGACTGAGACGGGTCTCTTTGTTTCTGCAAGGTGGTCCAAGGGTTATTGACAGTGTCTTACAACCTGGGAGATGGGCCAGTTGCTGTTAGCCTGCCTTCCTACCAAGTTCACAATGGGGAGTGGCACCGCGTTTCCCTGGAGCGGAACGGAAATGAATTCCTTCTTCGCCTCGAGGAAGGAGGTGGGAAGAGAGAGATTCAGAAGGCAGCGGGTGTCTACAAAGAGATCATCATGGATCCCAGCAGCTTGGTGGTTGGCAACACGTACCCTGTCAATCAAAGCCACAGTTTCCAAGGTGAGACAAATGCTACAGGTAATGGTTGTCTCGGATAGCCCCCCGTCATGGCGCCTCAGCTCTGAAAAGCGGCACGAATCAGCAACTGGGCAGCAGTCACAATGTCAATGCCTGACCATTTTGCCTCTTCTGCTTCTGCCCTCTTCTTCTTGCCCAGGTCCTTCTGGCAGGCTTAGCATCATAAAGAGCCCAGAGCAGACACCCAGGCACCGTTACCCACTCCACTCACCCTCACTTTTAATTATTCTGACTTCTCATTTGGAAATCCGACTTGGCTTTGGCATCTTGTAAAGCGGGGAGCTGGGGATGGGTCGATGTTCTAAGAGTGCGAGAGGTGCTTTGGTAGTTACCTCTCATTCCGCATGGATAAAAGTGCATGCTTACTTTTCTGGGGTGGAGGAACTGCAGGCCAAAGGGCGCTGCAGGTTATCAGGGTGGTTCCACTTGGATGGCGAAGAGCTGCGTGCGTAAGAAGGGCTTGCAGTGCCCAGCTTTGATAAGTAAGGCGGAAGGGCAGAGCTTCAGGCCCCAGGCCACATCTGGCCTTCCTGGCTTCCCAGTCCGGGCCTGTCGGGTCCTCCCTTCCCTTTCCCCAGCCACGGATCACGTGCAGGTTTCCCAGCTTTTGTGCACTTTTTATCCATTCTGAAAAGTTGAAATGCCTCTCCTTAGGCTTAGTGCTACAGGAAATGTTAATGCTAATCACATAGTATGCAGCTGAGCAGTCTTAATTTATGCTGTTATAAAATGCATGGTCCCAGTTTGGATCAGGACCACCCCCAGGAGAGGAAGAATCAGCCCTCTTGACACCCCCTGCCCCATCCTGGTTGCTTCCTGAAACCCCCTGAGTTGAGGGTGAGGTGCTCCCACAATTAAAAAAAAGGCTGTGGGCAGGTTGAGGGGGTGGGGGGCTTGTTTGTTTGTTTATACTGTCATTGTGGGGTGCTCACTGGGAATGGTGCCCCACGTGTTGTGCAAGCAGTGCCCATTCATCATGTGGGGAAGAAAGTGGGTCACCTGGAAGGCCACCAGGTGCGCCTGCTTGCAGGATTGGCTCTTCTCCCAGGTGTGCCACCACCCCCAGCAGCAAGCAAGGAAGGTGCTTGATTGGCAGGAACGGCCGGCGCACCTGCTCAGCACTGCTTTTCAGCATCCTGCAGCTGCTGCTGGTGGGGAAGGTCGCCTCAGAGCCCGTGAGCATTTGCAGGCTTCTTGGCTTGGCTTGCTTTGCAGGACCGGGCCGAGCACGAGAGGAAGCCTGTGGACGCGAGAGGGGTGGATTTCTGCATAAATGAAAAGATAATCCTCAGCTGCATGTTGCGCTGTCTGTGATGTATTGTTTGGCTCTTAAGAAGAGCTTTAAGCAAGAAGAGGCTGGTGGTTTCACCCTGTCAGGGCAGCTCCTTTGGTCTTTGGCCTTGCCCCCCACTGAAGGGTGGTCCCGAGAACTGCCTTGAAACGGGAGTTGGCCCCCCGATGGAAAGTGGTTCTACACGCCAGGCCTGCGGGATGGAGTAGGGGCTGGGGCGGCACTTGCACGGCTGAGTTGCCAGCATGCATGTGGGTGCACTACTACTCAGGGATCCCGTTATGGGTGAAGATCCTGGAGAGCTCTTAAAATCTAGTCTGTCTGTCTGTCTGTCTGTCTCTGCTGTATGATCCCTGCAGCGAAACATCAGCACCAAAGCCCTCAAGTCTGGGGTGGAGAGCAGCATGTGGGGAGAGGGGGTTCTGACCCGTGCCTGAACTTCTCTGGCTCTGGTCCCCGTTGAGCAGACACACGCTCAGGCAGGCAGGCGGGGCTGCGGCTTCGTCCTTGGCGAAGAGCCTTCCAGAGCGAGCCTGACTCCTATTTTGCCTTAGGATGCATGAAGGATGTCAGATTCAATCACTACGGGCTGCCTCTGGACGCGTCCCGGAAGGAGCTGGTCCTGAATGCCCAAGGCGTGAAGAAAGGCTGCCTCTCTGAGGCTTGCAAGGGCAGTCCCTGCATCCAGCCGTTCTTGTGCATTGACTTGTGGATGATGCACGAATGCAGGTAAAGTTACTTTGCGCTGCAAAGTCACGGGGCAGGTCCCTCTCTCTCCTCTGGGGCTCATCCATGATGGAGCGAGAAAGGATGCACCTTCCTAAACCCTGTGCCCTATGGTCCAGATTGGGCCCGATCCTCCTGCGCCTTCTCTAGAGTAAAAATGACTGCGTCTTTCGAGTAATGCTTTGTCTTTAAAGTCATCCCCCTTCGGCCCTCAGAGGTCGTGGAGGCCTGCCTGCCTGCCCACCCTTGCGATTCACGTTATGTTTTTCTGGTTTTTTCCCAAATCTGTTTGCAGGTTGCATTCATGATCTTTTCCCTCTCACTGTTAAACTAGGCTGGACACGTGTATGTGGTACAGTATCCACTGACTGAGTCTTGGATGACATAGTCTCTTGTTTAAGTTTCTGCCCCAGTGCGGTTGTTGTTGCAGTGACAGTCGCTTCGCTTCTGGACTGCCCACACCTGACGCTGTCTGGGCGGTTCGCAGCATTCAGAAAGACGAGTACAATAGAAAGAACGGGTCACAACACAAGTACAATGAAATGTAGCATAAGATTCCAATATAGGCTTTAAAGCATCATGAGGCTGTCTTGCTGAACTGTTTTTTTGGGGGCAGGGGTGGGAAAGGGGTGACATGAAACTTTGCTGGAGCACGACCCCACGAATAGGATCTATTTCAGGAATCCAGCCACCGTAGCGCATGAGAACCACCTGTGAGCCCATTGCGTTACTCTGGAGCCAATGCTTGAGGAAGCTAAATAGGGGTGTTGGATTGTGGTGCCCTGGAGCTCTGGGTGGGCCAGCACCAAGATCGCTGCTGCATCGTCTGCCTTGCCCTTGTGTCTTCCAGTTGCCCTCCAGGACACATGTTGGTGGAGAACGCCACAGGACGGCACTGCATGTACACCGCATGTGCGCAAAGACCCTGTAACTTCGGCACGTGCATCTCCCAGTCCGCGAGCAAGTTCCGATGCCATTGCCCCGACGGCTACTCCGGCCGCAACTGTGAGATCACTCTGGCAATCTTCCACAAGGACGCCGGGCTGAGCTTCAGCTCCATGTTCGCCATCTGCATTTGCTTTCTGGCCCTGCTAGGTAGCTATGGCAACTACATACTGTACTATCTTTGGTGACGAGCCCCGGCCATCCTCCATCGTTGTTGTCCTCTTCGGATACTCGTGTCGTGAGAGTTTGCTGTGAAGACTCTGGCTGGACCACACCTTGCTGCTTTGTCCTTCTGTCTTTATTCCACTCACCAAGACATGTCTCCTTCCCATCATCGACCATTTCATCCTTCCGTTTGTCTTTTGTTTGCTGTTTTGCTGCAAGTGTCACATTCTGTGGCTGAATATAGGTGCGGAAGGAGTAAGCGCAACACGGAGCAGGCAGGGAGAAAGGAGCATGAAACGAGGCCTGCAGGATCCGTCCAAAGAGCTGCCCATGCAGGCAAGCCAGAGGCTGCCAGAAAGCCCAAAGCAGAGCTTGAAGTGGTGGTGTGGCCCCTTTCTAGCTCCCGGGTGGTGCAGACAGCATTTCCATTTAACTATCATAGCCAGTAGTACTTGCTCAAGCTGTCTTTCATGGATTCGTCTAGTCCCGTTTTAAAACTATCCATGCGCATCTGGAGAGCATTCAAGTGCCCTCCAGATGGGCTGGACGATGGGTTGGACAATGCCAATGGGTCTGTGGCATTCTCCACCAACATGCGGCCTGGAGGGCTGACTTGAAGTCCAGTGCATGCGACAGCTGATGGAGAAGGCTGACCTAAACCAGATGGCTCAGAGATGTATTTTTCAGCTCATCTTGAAGCACGTCCCCCAGTCCTAAGTCAAACAAAGCTGGACAAAAATGGAAAACCTCTTTTGCAAAATACAGGGTTGTGACATTATGACTCTTGGTGAGAAGGACGATGACAAAGCACTTGGACGGCGGGACGCAGGCACCTCGTGACCTTCTTTTCACAGTAACCTTCTGAGGTTGCTCCCATTTTATTTATGGATAAATCTGTTGCTCCCATTTTATTTATGGATTTAACACGATGCATGATTTGCTTATATTAAAGACATTTCTTAGTTATTTGCAAATACCATTGAATACATTTTGCAAATGTGGGTATCAAGAAAATACAGTCAGTGGCAGAGATGCAATGTTGAGTGCAGTTTCCCAGCTCCAGTTCTCTTAGCCAGTTAGAGGCACTGGTAGCAAAGAATGTGGCAGTGGAATTGTGAATCCCATCGAGCTGTTCTAACTTAAAAGCCCCAAGAGCGAAGGCAGTTGTGTCTGAGTCCACCCTTTGCATGTATTCTGCAGTCGGGAGTAATCCAAACCTCTCGATATAGACCAAGGGTTCCATAGAATTCAACCTACTAACTGCAGAAAAATCTCACCTCTATTGCACTGGGATCTTATGAAGTCACCATAGTTGTGATCTTGTAGTGTCTTGGAAAATGAATCACACCCTTCATTTTTTGGCATGTTGTTACTCCTAGCCTGGCCCTGTTCAGATGTTCAGAAGGGAATAGGGACAGACATGCCCGTTCAGCCTCCCCATCGCCGTCTTTGCCATCCTCCCAACTTGAAGGCACTTGTGGAGGTTTCCTGAGCATTTGGGGACCCTGGAAAATCAGGCTTCTGAATCACAAGGAGGGTTTGCATGAATCAGGAAGGCTCTCAGATGCAGCCATTTGCTTCCAACTTGTGAAGAGCACAAAGAACAGTGGCAGAGGGGAGCAAGGCTCTGTCCTTGCCTGCATAATTTAAGCATTTAAATAGGGTTTCTGCTTTTGCAGTTTTGAATTCTTGTTGCATGAATATGTTTGCCGTGCAAACATGCAACTGCAGGTATTTCAAACTAAGTCAGAATTAGTATGGGAACCACTGCTTTTTAGGGAGACCTGAGAATTTGTAAGCAGTCAGTGTCTCTGCTCCATGTGTTTTAGGCATGGTATTTCTATGAGGCCACACTGGGTTCAGAAGAGAAAAAGCCCCATGCTTTCAGAAAAGTGTTAAACATCGCTCGCTGCTACTGAAAAAATAGTGTGCTCTTTTCAAAGAAAGCCTTTTATGACTATGCAATGGAAGTTTCAGTTGAGTTTGATGCACATTAAAATTGGCTTGCAGATGTCACTGCTGGCATCCCGTGGCACTTTCTGACAGGGCGGTATCAGGCGCAGCTCCTCTGAGACCTGTCTTCAGAATGCAGGAATGAAAGCCTCTTGGAAGACACAGAGCTGTATCCAGCCTTACCTTTCTCTTTTTCAGAGAGATTTCTTCCTAGTCTGAATAGAATTTCTGTTGTGCTGGGCATGGTGAAATGTGAAGGCAAAATGTATTTCTTGGGGACAGAGTTAGGTCCTCTAACTGTCCCCCCAGCTGGGTCAAAACTGCTTATGGATATGTGGTCCTTTGGAAAGGACAGCGATGTCTGTCCCTTGCTTGACATGACTGCTATGGGTGGTGAAAACAGTCACCTCACAAGAAGAGAGCATTGCTTTTGCGTGTTTGTGGATCCTAGGGCCAGGTGTGGTATTAAAATATTTCGAGGAGAGGATGATCATTGCAGCAGTGGGATGCACCTCGCAATATGGGTATTTCAGTCTTGCCCACATTCTCAAAAACACATCCCACCCCGTCAAGTAAGTGTTCAGAGCGTTCCAGCCTTAACATTAATGTTGATCATTTGCCATTTCAGATGGCAAAGATGGACAGAGGGGGTCATGATTGCCTTTATATGCCACCCTCCCTTTGGGTGCAGCTCATAAGGCCCCTCAACCAAATTTTATCCTTGAAACATCCCCACAAAGCAGAACAGACTGGCTGGTAAGGCTGGGGAAGGGGACTCTGGGCGTGTGGAGCTCGGTGGCAGACCTCATCCTTTGCCTGCAGAAGGCCCGAGTTGGATCCTTGGCGTCTCCAGGACAGGCTGGAAAAAGGTCTGAATGAAATCAGGGAGAGCTGCTGCCCATCCGTGTTGACCCTCCTGGGACCAAGGATCCAAGTCAGTGTGGGACAACTTGCTTTGCTGCCCTTTCCTGGTCCCACATTTGATCCCACTCTTTCCAGCCCTCCAGAAGTTTGAACCACAACTTCCGCCAATATAAGGATGGTGGAAACGGTAGCACCATTTGTCTGGAAGGCACCCAATTGGGGAAGGCTGCTCTGAGTACGGCACCCCGTGGAGTCTGGGATGGCAATCTTGCGTTCCTATAATTTGTAGTACTATTGCACACTACAATTTACTTCTGAGTAAGGTTCTGTTAAAACAATTTCTTCAAAGCCCAGCATCTTGACTGGAACTCAGCCAATTGCTGAGCAGGGATCAGAGCCTGTGGGGGGGCAGAGAAGCTTCATCCACTGATGAGCAAGATTTGGTGCAAATGCTGCAGAGGGGACCTTCTGCGCTGATTTCAGCGATCACGGCCAGTGTTTGCTAGAAAGAGTGATGGACCAAGCGTGTTTCAGGTACCCACTGGAGGTCAAGCTGCGTGAGATGCCAGCCATGAAACTGACAGGCAGGCAGCAATGGAATGAGCAGAAATCTCAAAGAACTAGCGGCAGGATGGGGAAGGAGGGCAGTTTGGGACCCTGGCAGGGGGTGAGGAGGCCTCAGTTTCTTCCTGCCACCCCTGATCCCCCTTTGAATAGGGGGGAGGGACCACACCTGCCGTTTGCAGTAGAAAGAATTTTCCACTGGTACAGCTGAGTGAAGCAAAGGGTTGACACGGGCCCCTTGATTCCAGTCAGGGCTGCAGAGGGCCTTGCGGGCAGGCCTCTGGCCCAGATCGAAGCACCTGGGCTCGCTCTTTACTCTTCAGAGGCGACATGAACAAACACAGCTCGTTTGGCCCCAAGAGAACACTTTGCCGTGAGTGCTTATCTTCTGCTTTCTTTGCTGTAGTAGACACTTGCTGGATGTCTTCATGTAAACTTCAGTGCAGATGTATTCCAGAACTCCACGTTAAGAAAAAACAAAACCTGTGCCTGAATTATTTTTCTAATAAAAATTATAACACGCAACCCTCCTCTCCATTGTTTTAATGTCATGGTTGTCACTTTCATTCGTTTCCATAGCATGCTTGTTTCTTGTGATGGTTCCCATTCCGTGCAATGAAGCACCACCCCCAGCCCCGTGCCGGGGCGGTGCCCAGTTCATTTCCCTGCATAGGGCTGGTCGCAAGCTAAGCTTTTTGAAATCCATGAGCAAGTTAACCCTGGCTGAGGTCTCCTTGCTTCCATGGGAACGACTTTCAACTGACGTTGCCTGGATGCATCCCATAGTATTGTATCTTACGGGTTAGATGCAGATTTAGGTTGGTGGAAGTGGACTCCTCTGCCCCCCCCACCCCATGCCACAACAGCCCTCTAGCCCTCTGGAAGTGCCGCATGGAGGGGCCACAGGCATTGCGGCACGGGAGATCTGTGTTGTGGGGGAAAGGCCAAGGCATATTCCAAAAGCAGGGCCCTTCTACTCTGGATGCAAAGCCAGCTGTTCACTAGGGCTACGAAATTGCATTGTCTCTGCTCATGTCTGGTAAAGGCAACTTTTATGGAGTTACTGCAGTGCCATTCATCTCTCTGCTCCCCTTGCCAGCGTCATCTTACTTTCTTTGTAGCTCTCTTGGAAGGCCAACTGCTTTTGCTGTCTTCATGTCATTCATCCCCTGTGCCAGAACACTTGAGAGAGGCCATTTGAATTCCTCGTTTACACAGGAGGGTTTCAGGGGTGTGCACGAGCGGACTGGGTGCAGTCTGAGCCACTCGACTCCATCGTGGCCTTCAATGATGCAGTGCTAGAAATGTTAGTTCAACTGGGATGGATTCCATTTTGTTTTCTTAGGATTGCCGCCAGTGGCGCGTGCTTAGCTCCTGCTCCTTCCCTGTGGATAGTCCCAGCTCACAGGTGGTCTTAATCATAACCATGACTCCAAAGGAGAGCTGGAGCTACTGCTAGAAGTAGGCACTCTCCTCAGAGGGCCTCCTTAAAGATCTGTACCTGTGTGTCCATCGGCTGGCTGGATCCTACTGGCTTGGGTGGAACTACAGAGCTTGAAAGCAGGCTTGGAAGGCCACAGTAGCCTTTAAAAAGGCTTGGGCTTCTCTTGGAGTTGAGTCCAATGGCACATGTGGCCACAAATGTAGCCCTGCCATTCCATGCTGACTCGGCAGCCACCGGCCAGGGGACTTCACAGGTGGCTATATTCCAACAAGAGAATTGGCCTCTTTGGAGGTTCTACTGCATCCTGATTGTGGCATTTGGGCCCATGGTTCCTAATTCTCTCTCTTTGTTCCGGCCCATCTCTTCATCCAGTTCTGCTGAGTGGTGTTCTTCTGTGGACTCGGTGGAAGAGCCACAAAAGCGTGAATGGAGGAGTTTACCATGTCACCACCGGTCATGATGATTTGGAGGACATCCGGGAGAACATCCTCAACTATAACGAGGAAGGAGGAGGAGAGCAGGACCAGGTGAGTCCCTCTGGGGCATGTGGGAGGGCAGCCAAAAGTTTTAGCTCAAGCCAAGAAAAATCTTTTGCTCGCCAGTGCTTTGTGCTTTGACCTCAACACTAAACTTTTCAAGGGTTGCCTGACTTTGGCTGCATTTCCTCACAGAGAAAGGATAAATGGGTCTAACTAGGCTTCCCAAACTAATGCTCCCTCCAGTTTTTTTGGGACTGCCAATTCCCAGCATTCCTGACCAATGGCCATGCTGGCTGGGGCTGATGGGAGTTTAAGGCCAGAGCTCACCTTCCTGAGGAAGGCTGTTCTAAACAGTTTTGATTATCTTTAAGGTTTCGAACGCAAGGACACATAGGCCAAGCAAGACTCAAGATACTTTGCTATAATCAGTATACTCCAATTTGAAATATTTTAGCCACTTTTTATACTTATGCTTGCTATGAAAAGCAACATATAGAAGGCAATGAAATTTGCACAGTGAGTACAGTGGATGACATTTGAAGGAAAATCTTACGTCCTGCTTTGAGAAAGCTGGTTAGACCCTCTAAACATTCGAGGTGCTAAAGCAGCCCAGAAGAGGAAGCTCTTCAAGGCTTCCCAAATGCTTGCACTGAAGGGATAAAGCATCAATGTATTGGAAGGGTGTCCATCCTTCCAGTTTACTGGAAGGGAGGAGGCTGTTATCTTGTGCAGGTACTTAATGGAAGGTACTCAGACAAGACCCCTAAGGTACTCTTCAGTGTAGCCAGGCTATATGGTTGGAAGCAGTCCTTCAGATCGCCAGTAGAATCAAACACTGCAGAACATATTACTAGAAAGTAACCTGGTGGATTTGTTTCTTAACTGTCTCTGATTGGGCCCGTAATTGGACCGATGCTACAACCATTCCAGGTTTTGCATTGTGAGAAGGTAACTGGCTTCTCCATACTCTAACCCTGAGATGCTCAGAAACGATATTTATATCAGCTGCAGCTAATGGGCAAGGTGGCTGGGGATGCTGGGCGCTGTAAAGCAACACACCTTGAGGAGACCACTTTGGGCCTGGCTACACTAGAGCATTAGCTGTGTCCACACACTGCATCTGGTACATCAGTCAGGACTGTTTGTAGATGTGCTCTGTCTGAACATAAATGCCTAGATTGCTCCAAGAGGAGCAGAAATTGGACACAATGCCCTGCTAGTTAAATGTAGATTTCCTCACTCTCATAAAAAGCTGATGAATTTCTGTGAACATGCCTTAAACACTTAAAGGGATATTTATCTTCAAGGTGGCACATAGAGAGCTAAGTATACAAATCCTATTAGGGCTTAATAAGATTAACTCCCTCTGGAAATTGTAAGGGGAAAAATAGGTTTACTCACAAAAGGGATACGGTGAGTTTGTCTGACAGGGTCAGGCACTTTGTGTCTCAGTTTTCCTTGAAGCAGAAAAGCAAAGAGTCAAGACTGGGTTGCCTTCACATTGCAGGAGAAATCAAAAGATCTCCCTAGCACGGGGTATTTTCTTATATTGCTACTTGATTTAAAATAGCACATCTTGCCTTTTGATCAAAAGAGCCCCAAGGCATTTAAGAATAGATCGTAAAACACAAAACCTATACAATCCAGCAGTTGCTAGCAGGGAAGGCAGGATCTCTTAGTTCCACATTCTTCTGCCTTAGTATGAATTAAATATATCAGTATTAATGACATAAATACAATCAAATGTCATTACATTTATATTGGGGCTTTTTTCTTCTTCCAAGGAGCCCAAGGTGCTTATGTGCTTTATCCTCACAACAACCCCTTGAGGTAGGCTAGGCTGCAACAGCATGGCTGGCCCAAGTCACTCAGTGAGCTTCCTGGCCGAGGGGCGGCTACCCACATCTCTGGGCCCCCCTCCAGCACGCCAATGACTGCCCCACTCTGCTGTATGTCTTCTCTCCTGGTTGTGAAGGACTGTGTGGATTTGGTACATTCTTAGGCAAAGCCCCAGCCTGAGATGCAATTCTGGCCTCTCTGTGCAGCTAAATTCAGCTTGTTACAGCTATGTTGGAGCTCCCTGTAGTTGTTAAAGATGTGGAGCCCATCAGGGAGGAAGGCAGTTCAGCTCTAATTCAGCATTGCAAATGTGGCTGAATACGCCGGAATTCAGACCCAGGCTTTTAAGAGCGAAGTGCTCAAAGCCCTCAATTTGTCAATGTCACTTTTCAGTTTTCCGTTTTTGTTCATCTTGAGTTCTTTCTGCCTTGTCTAAGAAGTTTTCAAACTCCTGTAAGCTCTTGTCAAAAAATGCACATAACAAAATTCTTACCCATCGCTAGCCGGGCTTAGGGATGGAGCTGAAGTGAGCTCCTGGGCAGAACCATCAAGTGTAGTGTTTTTCCTGGCAGGGGGGCGGCTCAGCCCCTGGCTGATGATTGGCAGCAGGCTGTTCCTTCTCTTGCCATGCTGTTCTTCCCGAGAAGCAGGAAGGATGCCTTCTCAGTGGCCCTTAGTTCCTGGGCCAACAGAGGCAGCCAGAGCATGCTTTCCTGTAGCCCCACAGTCCTCGGGAAACTGGCAAAAATGTATAGATTGTGAGGAAGGGAGAGCACACATGCAAACACCAGCTGTGCATGCCGCATTATTCGGTGTGGTGCAGATGGAAAGGTTGGGTCGGTGCCGCCTGGAGGAACCTACACATTCATTTTGGATGGAGGGCATCAGAGGGAGGGCTTCCAAGCTTCCAGGGAAGAGAGGGGAAGGCCAACACATCCAGCTGAGTTTGTGGAAGGAGGTGTGTGCAGCTGGGCTTTCTCATGTGGCAACACTTCCAGGCCCTGCTGCAGCATTAGGAAATCCAACCATTAGATTCTCCCAAGGGAATTCCAGATTAAAATATGGGATTCCTCAATGCCAACACAATGCAACTTGGCCTCTAGGCAGTAACACTTGCTTTTAAAATACTGATAGGAAAAACATCTGCTTTGGTCTTCTGAGATGGCAGGCAGATGTGCCAGGCAGCTACACATTGGTGGTTGCTTCATCATCAGGGTGCTCATAAAATCAGGAGTGCACCCAGAGAAAACAACGAGGAATTCCTCAATATGCAAATAGAGCAGGTGTCATTTAAGGACACATCATGGGTCTGGTAGAGGTCAGAGAAGTACTCCATGCGTCTGCATTTGCCAGCTGGGCTTTTCTGCCTACCTTGGTCAAGCGTCTTGTAGAGGCGAGGCGAGGGGAGGCGAGGCGAGGGGAGGCGAGGCGAGGCGAGGGGTCTGGTAGAGCCAGCAAGATCACAGGAATCCTCCCCCCTCCAGTCTCCCCAGGCAGCCTCGTCTGTCCCTCCCCAAGGATGCCTTCATGACCTCCGAGGTGGAGGCTCCCAGCTCCGAGGGCAGAGGGCTTCCTTTGCCCGTGGAGCTGGCCACCTGAAAAATGGCCAGGTCCCTCAGGTGCAGTCCCGAGGCCCAGGGTGAGCCTTCCTAGGAACAGACGTCTATCCTCAGGCATTTATCTTAATGGGACATACAGGAACATAGGAAAAATAATCTAGGCACGCTGTGGACCCTTGAGAAAGTCTAGAAGGAAGCTTATGAATGTGGGACCCAGGAGGTCTCCCTTGGAGCAGTTAATTGCCAGGTTGATTGCTTGCAGACAATACTGGTAAGCAGGGTGTTGTTGCTTTCTCCTTTGCTTACAGCCTTGTCTTGAGCTGAGTATGTCATATGTTCAAATCAGTGCACAATTAGTATGGTTATGTCAATATATTTATAGTAAGAGAAGACAGATGTGGACTGAAAGATTGCCTTAGGATCAATTGAAAAGCCCTGTGGATCAAAGCCCACATAGTTCCTACTTAGAGTAGTCCCACCAGAATGAGGTCAGTGTATGTCACTGCGTTTATTCTAAGCAGACTCTACACTGGAGTTTGGCCTGCATGTCCAGAGTTTGAAGATTCGCCTTACTCTTGGATGGAGTCTTCCTGGGCCAGGGATGTGAAGATGCCAAAAGCATGATCCTGTTCATGTTTAGACAGAAAACGGGCTTGCTGCATGACCCAGTCAGCAGATGGTCATGTATCTCCGGGAACCAAGGATGAAGGTCGGTTTGTGGCAGGGTTTCGGCACCGCTTCCCATGGTGGCATTTCTTTCTTTCTCCAGGATGGCTACAACATTGCTGAGCTCCAGATGTCTCTTCAAACCAGTCCGGCCTTCTCTCTCTACAAGAACAAAGTGAAGCGGTTGGCGCTGAACAGCCCACTGAGTTGCGAGTTCGCATCCCACCCAAAGGAGTGCGCGGAAGCAGAAAGAGGCTCCTCCTGCTCCAGCATCGATTTTGGGTGCTACCTGTCGGGCGTGGTTCGAAGCATGGACCAGCAGCACCAGGCTCTCCCCTGCGATTCACTGCAAGTCTTTTACATGGAAGGGGAGTGTTCAGTGGCCAGCAGCCTCAGCTCTCTGGGGTCGTGTGGGTGGGACGAAGATACCCCATATGGGGACATGAAAGAATGGGGGCCAAAGTTTGAAAAACTCAGTGAACTGTATTCGCATGCAGAACCGGAGGAAATTTAGGCTATTCAACCTGTCTGTGTATCATGCTCTGGAAGGACTCCTAATTTTGTTTTTTTTGGGGGGGGGTGAGGGAAGGGGGTGGTAAAGGTACTTTTCACATACTTTTGATAAAGTTGGATCCCTCTTAAAATACTGCAAAGGCAGAACCCAGAGGGGATCAGGTGGCTCCCTGGGGGTTTTCACTTTGCATCCAGAAAAGCAAGGAGCCAATCCAAAGAGGAGGAAAGGGGATTAAAAACTGGATGCTTAGACCTGTCTTCAAAGGCAAGGAAAGAAAGGGCAAGAAGACATTGGATTTAAATGCATGCCGAGGAAGATAAAAGATTTCAGAAAGATGAAAGTGTAAAGAAACCACTTCTGTATTGTTTCTGAGGATTGATGTCTTCTCCCCAGGATTTTTTTCTGTTTGCAGACTTGGAAGCAACAAGGAGCAGTTCATCATACTGCTAGGGTTTGCAACGTTGGCCAGGGTCTTCTGTGTGGCTCCCGCACTAAGTTGAAAAAAAGGTTGTGGAGAATTCATAAGCATCCTCAGAGGTGGGCAGCTGGTTGCTTGTAATATTCCAAGAAACATTCAGTTATTGCTTGATTACATTCCTGTGTGTCAGAGTGGAAGGGAATTGTGTTTGCAGCTGGACACAAGATGTTGAAATTGGTTTCTTGACATTTTTACTTTTTGTAAGTCTAAAGATGTTGCATTGCTGCTGAAACAGACCAGGCTGGAAATTGTTCCCAAGAGCTGCTTTTCTGTGTGTCATTTCAAAATGGAGGACGATCCTAAAACGCAAAACTGAGGACAATCCCAAAGAAGTCAAGATTGCATCCATTGTGTGGGTAGGAGACTGCATGTTTGTCAGATCCAGTGTTGTCAAATGCAAAACCTGTTGAGGAATTGTGCTAATGTGGTTTGGAATTGTGTGGTCATTCTTTCTTAGCTCTTGCTACTCTTGGCTTTCCCTCGTAATGTGGGTCATTTCCTGCCATTTCTTCATAAACACAGTTTCTTGTTTCTGCTGCCTTTTACTAATCCTCATTAGCCATCAGTTTTCATTGGCACTAATGGAGTTTTTATTTCCTTCTGAGGGGAAAAGGATGGTTCTGGGGAGAAAGTGGCTGCATGGGAAGCTTTAACTTTTCCTATCTGATTGGGCGCCCATGCAGATACATTAAAGTAAGAATAAAAGTTAGGACCAGCTGTGCTGTATGCCTTTAACATGCCATGTAGTTTATTCCGAGTACTGGCATATTACATGGGCAAAAGCGAGGTAGGGATGTAGTATAATTATTATTAAAATATTGTTAAAAGCTTTTATATCTCAGGATGGTAATACAGTAAAAGCACAGCATCAAACATCAATTAGTAACAATAAAACCCATCATAAAATCAACATCAAAACTTAAAATACTGGGAAAATAAAAAGGTTTTGGCGTGGTGCTGAACTGAATAAAGTGTCAGTGCCGGGCGAACCTCTCTGGGGAGCATATTCCATAACTGGGGTGCCACCACAGAGAAGGCCCTCCTTTGTGTAGCCACTCTTCTGATCTCCTTCAAGGAGGGTTCCCAAAAAGGACCTCTGATCCAGATCTTAGGGGCCAGGCAGGTATATCTGGAAGGAGATGCTTCTTCAGATATCCCCAAGGACTTTGTTTTGAAGCCACAACAATCCTGGCAATGGGATTAAAAATCCCTGTGGTTTACAAGTCCCTTGTTTACATGCAGCCTCCTGATCTGGCAGGATGGATTGGCTCATTTCAGCATGGGGGTGGGTGCATCTAATTTGATGTGATCTTATGTAGGATCCCTCCTCCCAAAACTGACTCCCTGCAAGTGGAAAACTGCTCAGTTTTCTGTTTCTTACAGTGCTGGCTTTCTTCTGCCAAGCAGCCGATTTCATCACCTGCCCTCTGAAATGGTCCAAACTACTCTGTTTTATTTTTCTTCAGCTGCAGAGGAGATCTTTGGTTTAGCAATTGGGAACCCCACATTATTTCAGTCTTGGCACCAATCTTGGAACAGTGTTGTCTTTAACGTCCTTTTCTAGTTGTCTGACTTTTGCATCTGCATACGAACTTCTGTATTGTCTCAAGGCTCGCAATCCTGTGTAGCCACGCTTTCAACAACCAGCTATTTCAAAGAAAATCTAGTTTCTCTACCCATCACCCAGAGTGAGTAGTCAAATATCGAGTGTGCAACATACTGCCTGCAAAAGGCATCCCAGAGAATAACACTCCACATTAGTCATGCCTTCTGCAAGAACAGGAATTTCTGTTGCCTGTGAGAGATAAATGTCTTTGAAAACTATGTTGGCTAAATCCTTCTATTACAGCATAGCCTTTGCCAACCTGGCGCCCTCCAGGGTTTTAGACCACAACTCCTACCATCCTCAACCACTGACTAGGTCCAACGGAAGTTGTCTCCAGAAATATCTGGGGGGCATCTGGATGGGGAAGGCTGGGCCGTAGGATGAGCTGCTGTACATTGATCGGTCCCTTTTAAGTATCTTTTTCTTTCACTCAAATGCTCAAATGCTGGTTTAATGTATTTCTTGCTAAACCACTAATATCTGAAGCAAAGAAGGCCGACTCTGCAGTGCATTTCAATCTTCTCATCTGGCGTTTGCATTTCTGCTTAACCATTCTGAGTAAATGCTATGCAGCGTGGTAGAAGGCACTGTGGACTTAAAAATCTAAAGTTAGATTTCATTCTGCTGGCATTTCCAGCCCAGACTAACTTATCCCGTTCCCTTGGCTTTGGAAAAAAGACATCTCCGGTTATGTGTGCTCCTTAGATTATTCATACACTTTTTTCATCAAATGAAGCATGGAAGAATGAGATGCAGCGTTATGAGAAAGGTCAAGGAGATGGGGGACCAGAAAATGGAAGATCATCTATGCATGGGGAGGGGATGTGCAAGTGCCCTGAGAGATGGGTAATGGAGATCAAAATGTTCTTGGAGGAATACAGGGTAACATTTTCAGAAGTTACTACGACCAATTTTTTGAGCACGTATTAAGCCACAGGAGGCGACCAGAAATACTCCGATTGCCTTCTGTTTGAGGGGCTTGCTTTCTCTGTTATGGCTGTGCTAGACAGCTCACTCTGCCTTTCTGTGGATGATGGGAGATTTGCAGATTTGTTGCTTCTTCAAGAACGTAGACGTACAAAGTTGGAAGCAGCCTCAGAAGTCATCTGCTACATATCCCTCTGCCCGGTCTCCAATTTAGGATGCAACTAGAGCATCTCTGGCAGATGGTTGCCTGTCTCTGCTTAAACTCTTCCTGCGTAGGAGAGCCAGGCAACTCCATGAGAGAAGTTTCGTGTAATGTTTTGCCAAAATTTGCTTCCTTGCGCCTTGCATCCGTTGGTTCTAGTCTTGTCTTCTGCAGTGGCAGAGAGCAGGTCTACTCTGGCCAAGGGTCCATCTAATCCATCAGTTTCTCACAGTGGAATGAGGATGATAACTGCGTGATGGTGATGAGGAATAAGCTACTTCTAAGGGTCTACAACAGAAAATACCTTTTAGACATTTACCCATTTCTCTGTATTTATAGACTTTGCAAAGCAAATCTAACATTTTTAAAGATTTTGTGGCAAACCTTGACTGGGAGCACCCGGACATTTTGCCTAGCTTTAAATATTTTTTTTTAATTTTTTTTAAGAACTTCAGCTCAGTCTGAAGGTTGTATAATGTTGGCTAACTGGAGATGCTAGGTTGTTCTTTTGAGTGTCATTTCATATATGTGTATTTGAGATGGTATAGTCCTCACTGGAGAAGAATGGTTCTTCTGTACAGCATTTGTAAGTCTTGGAATTTTCCTGCTGATGGAAACCTTAGGTTTGGCCCCCTCACTTACCCACTGATGAGTCAGCCACTCAAAACTTCATGCAGTTTTCCTACAAGTAGCCATGGGCTGGGAAAAGAGTATTGAAGATTGTTTTTAATGTAACAATGCCCCCTCCAAACTCCTACTCTTTCTAAACACACCAAGTCATTACTCAGTGTTAAGGATTTGCTTCTGATCCGTTCATCTATTCGTCTAAATCTCTTCTACCCACAATATGATGTGCTGTAATTTGATTGCATTTTCAAGCCAATTTAGGCCATTTCCTTTGTGTGCAACATGCTATTTACTCCCTTGGCATGCTGTACAGAATAAAAATGCCCTTTCCAGGGTATTCTGCAGTCTAGCTCAAGAGTAGTTCCTTCATCCCAGATGCCAGTTCTAACTGATCTCAGCCCAGATTCTGGTACATGAAAGCTGAAAGTGTGAGCAGGTCCTTGGAGGGGTGAATTGTCTTACTGGCTCATGCGAGTAACTATAGATAAGGATGAAGGGAGAATGTTTGAACTCCTGGGAACGTGCTCAGAAGGGCCCAAGAAACCAGCTCAAAGTGTAGGAAATTGGCACAGTGTCCTCTGGAGACTCAGCTTGTGCTGCTGTAGCCTGGCTTATTTATGCAGAATGACAAAACAACACAGATTTCTCTGCAGAATTGGAAAAATGATTCTCTTCTCTTAAAACCGATCATCTTCTGGAGATCCTCTAGAGCAGTGGTTTTCAATCTTTTCACAGCTGGGGACTGGCAAAAACAGGGAAACAACCTCAGGGACCACTGAGGCAGAAACAAAAAGCACCGTAAACATAATACAGTATTCTGTGTATTAGCTGTCAAACACAATACCAAAAAATGAAAATTCTCCAAAACAACCAGAAACTGAGCAACAAAAAATGCTAGCAATACTGAAATTGGCACAGCATGGCTCCAAGCCAGCTCCTGCTGAGCCATCTGTCCCCTCCCTGCCCCTCCACCCGGCAGCACCAGCACACGCCCTGAGAACGCGATGCCAACCAAGGAAGAGGTGGTGGAGCCAGCCCCAGCGCTGGTCCGTGTCAAGCGGGATGTGCCCCCCCCCCACCACAGACTGGCAGGAAATCTCCCAGGAACTGGTGCTGGTCCACGGACTGGTGGGGGAAGACCACTGCTCTACAGGACCACT